GAGAATTTTCAATTTCGACCCCCTAAAAATACCAACTAGATCCAATTTGCTTCCAAAAACATACACTGGGCATCGAAGCTTATGATCAGAGCATTTTTTCTACCAGAAAGTTGAAAAGTTACAAAAATTTTAAAATACCTCAAATAAACGTCTGAAATTATTAGACTGGACAAAATAAAAATGTAACTAATTTTCAAGCCCCCTCCCCCCCATTGAAAAATCCTGCGGACGCCACTGAGTACTTTAGCTATATACTTATATTGTTTTTTATATATACTAATTTATTATCTAATACTTACCAATATTTATGTATTTGTCTTTGTTAATTGCCGTTAGGTGTTGAAATATATAAATACAAAAAAAAAAAAAAAGTAAGAATGCCGTGCTTCGACAAAATTAAAACCTATTAAACGTTATATACGATATTTATTTATGTTAAAATATGTCATATCGATGTATAAATAATGCATATCATTGTTATACGAGAGAAGTGCAATTTTCGATGTACCTATCTATGCAAATTACAATATTATAGTAGTTGACCGGCATTCGAGTGTTCTCGCTTACGATGTGGATTAGGCCTATAGAGGGGACACCACAATAAAAAAGAGCACCGCGTGTAGTACCTCATGCTTTTAAATCCACATGGGCGATGTGATATTATATCGTTTAACAAGCATAGGTGGTGTGGAAACTTACACGACACTTCAATGATCCAACATCGAGTACATTTCAAGTAATATTACTGTAGTTTATAGTAACCGCGGAAGAGATTAAAAAAATATACTTTTGAAGCGATACAGATCACATTTGGTTTAATTCAAATTTACGAAACCTCGGGCTCTAGAGAAGTATTCGAAAGCTTCCCGTCATGGTAAAATCACATTAAGAAAACGGTTTTTTTCTAAACATCGCATCAGTGAGTCACTTGTGAGACGCAAAAAATCAAATCAAAAAAGATCAAAAAAAATCAAATAAGAACTTCCTGCAACAAAAGAAAATAAACGTTCTTTCTCTATTGGAAAATGTTATGGTGTATATAAAATGCTAATATAAACATTCAGTGAAAATTGCATGTACCAGGTACCTACGCCCTACGGTCATTTGTTTTAAAGTTGCACCAAAAACCAAAAACGATTTTCTCGAAAACAGATTTTGAGTAAAAATTCCCGTTTTTCCTTAATTTTTCTTTTTTTTTTCACGTCGTTTTTGAATACTATTGGGGAATTTTTACTTTTGACCCCCAAAGTACACACTAATTAAAAATTAAAATTAAAAAATTAAAAAATAAATAAAATAACACATCATTGTAAAATCAATACATTCATTGCTCCTCTCAAAATCTAAAAGCTGGTAAGTGGATGTCGTTCTATTGTACAGTAGGTTACAAGTGTGTCACTTAAAGGCGATTACACAAGAGAACATAAAAATGATGGGCGAATGTAAATTCCCACACGAGATATAGCAGGTAAAAATTACCCCTGGATATCCATACGTAAGTTCCCACACGAAAAAAATTACACTTGTACGTAAGTTCCCACACGAAATTTCAGACACATAATAATGTTTATTGTATATAAATTGCTTATAATTTTAACTTTTAATTCGTTAATGCTCAGCCTTGCCAAACACAAACTTCCTTCCCACTTTATTCAGACTTAGGACTGACAACTTAAACGTAGTTGGTGTGGTTAAAATTTGTTTTGTTTTTGTATTGCATAAAAAAAAGTCCAATTGAATCTAGTCCGTATAATATATAATAAAAATTAATAATATAATGTGTATAATATTTGTATATGCATAAAATAAAAATAATAATAGAAAAAATCAAATTTTATTAGGTTTATTGCGATAGCTCAAACACTTCACATAGTCATACTGTTTAATTTTTTGTAAGTTAAGTACTGAAATTTTATTATTTATATAGTTTTGTTTTTCTTCTGTTTTTTTACTTTTTTTTGAGGTCTATTTAATTCTGATGTTCTTATCTTTATATATGTATTTGTTTGAAACATTTTTAAAACTTCTATTATTTTGAATATATTAGGATGATGATGATAAAATTTTGAATTGAATTCAGAATGGAAACTTTCGCAAGCGTTTGTAGTAAGGCTTGTATCAGAACTAGCACTAGCCCAAATACTAGGGGGAACTTACTGGTATCTTCGATGTAATGAGTTACTAAATAATCGCAAAATTCATTTATTTTATTATTTTCTGGTTTTTCAGCCATGAAACTGTCTACAAAACAATCTCCAACTTCTATTGGATTAAGAAATGGTAAACCAAATAAATGTACCAGCCACTTTCCTAATTCATCATTTGCAAAATTAAAGTCTTGTGCAAACCCTAAGCTTGGAATTTTCCTGTACCAAGCTTGGCCCAAATGGAAACGGCATCCCCATATTTGTGCTGTAGGAAATATAATATTTATTGTTTGGTGCATTGATATCTCAAAGTCTAAGACAAATTTATTTGGGTTTATTCCAACTGCATTTATTTTTTTTAATAATTCAATATATGTTTTCAATGTTTTATCCGGTAAAAAGCAAAACATTAATGGAATATAAACACTATTTTTTAAACCATGAACTATATATAGTTGAGTAAAATGTTTATCACAATAATTAAAAGTGCCATTCATGTAAACTATTTCCAGTTTTTTCAAAAATTCAATATTAGTATCACATGAAAATATTATTATCTCATTTAAACTGTCATTATCAAAAATAAAATCTTCACCTCTATTTGTTTCTACATTAATTGAACTCAAAGTATTAGGTATATGAACTTCTTTTCTTGACTTTGGTATTTTAGGATAACAACTGGCTCTAGCATTTTGTACATTTCTGGAAATAAGTTTAATATCAGACATTAACAAATTACCTTCATTTTCATGTTGTGTAAGTTCTCGTCTGATAATTTTTGAAGGTTTTTCAACAACGCTGTCTACTGCTTTTCTTTTACAAGAATTATTTATTTTTTGCCGATTTAAAGTAGTTTCTTCCTCATGGGTATGTACAAAACACGTATTTTTATTTTCAACTAATTTTTCACTATCGGTGTAACATTTAGCACGGCACTTATTATTTACACACATCCACGTACATATATTTGTTTTAGCGGTATGTTTCTTATAAAATTTATAATTATTATGGACTAAAAGAATTTTTCCCTTTTCACTCAACATGAATTCAATAATTAGGTATTTAGGTCCATTTTTATAAATTGATATAAAAACTGTTTAAATGTTAACTCTGTTAATAATGAACGAGTACTGAAATCAATAAAATGGACTGTCCATACTATTTAATATTATCATAGCCAACAGATAATAAAGATAATTATTGTAGATAGAATGTAATGCATTAAATTTTATCGCCACGTGGGAACATCCGTATCGGTATATTTTTGTTAACACAGTGTCACAGTATGACTATATTGTAAAGTGTTATTAGATCAAACAAAATGTGATTTTTTCTATTATTATTATTTATTTTATACCTATACAAATAATGTGTGGAAGAAGAAAAACAAAATAAAATATCAGATTGACTATGTGACTATTTGACTATGTGAAGTGTTTGAGCTTTCGAAATAAACCAAATACAATTTGATTTTTTTCTATTATTATTATTATTTTATACCTAAAAAAATTTCGTTTAAGTTGTCATTCCTAAGTCTTAATAACTTAACTTAAGTACGGGCGTATTTTTTTTCGTGTGGGAACTTACGTACGGGCGTATTTTTTTTCGTGTTGGAACTTACATATGTACTCGCTTACCTGCTATGTTTCGTGTGGGAACTTACCAAACCCCAAAATGATGAATGCTCCCGGATGTTCGCGTGCGACCCATCGTGCGATCGGGTAGACGTGTGAGTGAGCATTCGGATCCATTCGTCAACGTTCGCCAAATAGGTCGATTGGCGAGCCGTACACTGTCGGTATTTTTGTCTTTCTCAAAGAAATACCGCTCGCATACGAGTTATCGTGTGGACGGTTATTTTTCTTTTGTGTTATGCGTCGTATGCCAGTGAGAATAATTATTGAAAATGAACTAGAGAATTAAGTTTCGACTTAATGAAGTGATATGGGATCCACAAAATCCATCGTATTTTTCAAAAAATGTTAAATACGATGCATGGTGTTCAATTTCGAGACAATTTAATAAAGAACCTAACCTTTTTACTTACAATATAATTTTGATTACACATAATTTAACATATTAATATAATTTTCATTTACATAACAATATTTTTGTTTTTATACATAACAATATTTTTGTTTTTCATAACATAACAATTTTCGTTTACATAACAATATATATATTTTTTTTATATGATTTTAAACATATTAATATAATAATTAATAATTTGGTAAAACAATGCTACATTGATAATTAATGCAGTAATGCTACAATGGCATTTTATATAATAATAAATTTCATGTTAGTTTACAGATATATGTATTCATTGATTACAAAAATGTTGGTTAATGGTAATATTTAATATCTCCAATGGAAATACAGACCAGTATATTTTAATAAGTGCGTGTTTAAAATTATTTTTACATTATCTTTCATTTATTATTGACGGCAATTTAGCACCTGTAATTAACTTACTTGTACCTGCTACTTCATTACCCTGCATATTTTTTTTTTTTTTATATATATATGGAAAAGATTGAAAGTTAAGAAATTTAATAGTGAAAAAGAATAGAATTTGATTTAGAATCGCTAATAAACGACGTGGGAATTTAAACCTTCAAGTTGGAGTGATAAGTTCCATCTATTTTAATGGGAATTTAAACCATCAAGTCGAATTGATGAGACTCGGCTATTTGATGTCATCCTTTAAGAGCGAATGAAAGAAGTCAAGAAAACATTCGCAATTTTGTAAGAGTGATTTAATGGGAATTTAAAACATCATAATTTAAGGGCGAATGGATGACGTCAAGAAAACATTCGCAATTTTGTCGGATTAAAGAATTCTAATAGTTATTATCCAGGACAATCTCCAGGTACGATATTAGACAACAGTTTTTGAGGTGTATTATAAGGATATGGTCTTCCTTGATCGTCGTTTCTAAATTTACCACATAAATATAAAAGAGTTCTTGAGTCAATATAAGGGGAAAGATTCGAATATGAAATCATAGACATGTACAAAGGCTGCGAGTAGACTAAATTCGAAATCGAGGATCTAGGTACTATATTTGAGGAACGATGGTAGTCATAACCTATGGTAATTGCAACTATCGAACCCATAGGATCTCGATCAGCACAAAATTCTTCAGAAGTTCTCCAAGAACCTCTATTCAATGATGAGGATTGGGGAACAAAATTATGAGGATTATTAGTACCGCCTAATAAAGCCGGAACAAGATGACCTGAGTCACATTGACCGGCTACACACGAAGTTCTGACAAGATCTTGTATAGATTTTGGAATGGGTCTATTTCTATTGCCCCAATCAGATGCAGAGAATTCATAACAAACTCCCACTACATAAGTGTGAGTAGCATTAGAATACAAATAATAGTTAACATTTGTAGTCTGATAGTAAGAATCACCGATCCTTTGCCAACGATTGGACTCCCTCTCAATTGACGTATATGCAGGTATTGAATATTGATAAAATTTACATTTAGAAGGATCCAAAAAAGAATAAACACCCTGAAAGACCGAAACAATAAATACGACAAAAGAATAATTTTTAAACAACATTTTAAACCAGTCAGGTAACGTCAGTCAAATCTTTAGTTTTTATGCAAAACTAATAAAAAAAAAAATTTTCCTACGTAGGGTCGACAAACCACAAAAGAGTTAAAAACAAAAAATAAAAATAAATAAAACAGTATGAAATTAAACAGTTGTCTAATCTACTAACATCAGCCAGTCAAGTAACGTTAGTCAAATCTTTAGTTTTTATGCAAAAATTAATAAATTTTTTTTTCCTCCCTTGCGCAACTGTAAAAATTGAACTAACACACAAATTCCCGGCCTGTGAAAGGACACATGGAATAATTCGGATAAAGAAAAACAAGTGGTTGTACAAAATACACAGTTGACTATCTGAACATAGCAAAATCAGGAAATCTAATTTTACAACGCTGAGATAGGCAAGTTGCTTGAAACTGATAAAAAAAAATTAAATCGCGAAAAGCGACACAGAACACGATGAAAGTCGTGAGCCTGCGGATTATTTATTTTTCACTAATCACTTAATTAAATGATGTATCGAATTCAGGATAAACAGAATAAATAACAGAATTAAAATGTAATTGACACACTAGAGTAAAATAAATTTAAATCGTACGTAAAAAATTAATTCATTGATGAAATTTATTTAAATATATAATAACAACAATACGTATAATTAACAATAAATAAATAAATGATTAAACAAACAATCAAAATAAATAAGCAAACAAATAAACAATAAATAAATAATAACAACCGTTATTAGTTATCTACAATTAACTCGGTTGCTCCAATAATTTATTCAAACCTATTTATTTAATAATTTATTTAAAGTAAATTAATTAATAATAAAAATTTTAACTTAACTTGTCTAACTTAGAATTAATTTAAAGTATTTAATTAATACGATTTAAAATTAAACTTAATTTAAATATAGTTACTCTTATTTTTTTTTTTTTGCATTAATTCAAACTAATCAGTCAATACGACATCTATTCAAAAATAGTAACTCTTATTATAACTGGTTCAATTGAATTAATTATATATATTTTTTTTTTTTTTTATAAAATCAACCTATTCTTTTCAACACGTAAGGACTTATTTCGGCCTTATAAAATAAAATTCAAAAATATAGACTCACTGTCTTCAAATAATTCACAATATCAGGACTTACTTCACGGCCTATAAATAAATTCAATAAACTCGACTTCAATGCTTCCATTTGTTCTGTTGATTGAAGTTGGATGTTACGTACTTGCGTAGTTGTACAAGATTCTTTCTCGGAGTTGCTGGAAGCCGGAAGGTGATCAGGCTTCCAACGGTGATCCAGTGATGAATTTTAATCCTTGATCGAATTTAGAAGACGGAAAAATTCGAAAAAATTTTTTAATTGTTTTTCCAGTTCCTTCTAAGTATCTTTTTGAGACACCCTGTCCATAGTGCCAAATTTGTAACGTGCCAACTACTTCAGCTCAGTATTGGAAGTATTTTGAATAAAATAACGAAGTTGATGGTATAAGTTATTTTTATTTGTATTCAATTTAACGTAATATAATCTAAGTCCAAAATAATTAACTTATTAAACTGTGGTAAACGAGATGTGACTTAGTATAATATAGCTGGTGTCTGTTCAAGTTGAGGCCGGCTGCTCGGTTGGTGTTCGTCTGATGGACACTTGTCCATCGACGTATCTCGTCGGTATTCCTAATAGATCCCTCCTAGCTATGGCATTTTTAGTATAAAAAATTGATAGACGCGCCTGAGCATCCGCCTGAGGTCATTTCTGACGTCTTTTACGTATTAATGTTATTTGTGTATTATATATTTCCAAAGTCATCAATTATGTTATTCGTGTTTCCTAGAATATTTATTATTAAAAATGCACATACTTTTCACGTGTTCTTATAACGCCTCGCGCGGTACCTTTGACCCTTGATATTAAAACCCGTGCAGCCGGTATTACGCGCTCGCTTTTAATGATTAGATATTATAACTATTTCCTTCGATGCGCGCCGCCCTGCAACATTTATATATATATATATATTATTATATATTGTATTATATTATTATGTTATATTATTGTCAAAAGTCACAGCCCGTTACACAAGACTCAATAATTGCTAATTCGCCGACAGCTATATAAAGCAATTTTGCAGACTAAAATGAACCAGGTCTACCCCCTTTAGTGGGGGTCTATACTCTATAGCCCCACTAAAACCGGCCATGATCTTAAGATGAATGTGTATTACTATTTACAATAATTGTGAATGACATTAATAATAAAATTTACCCAGGGCTTGAAACCGGTAACCGATTTTTCCCGGTAACCGGTTACCATGAGTACTTTTTGAACTGGTATCCGCTTCCCGGTTCTCGAGTTTCAATTTTGAGAAGCGGTTATCAATTACCGGTAATCACGGAATTTGATAAAGGGAGAAATCTATAACGGTAACCGTTTATTTTTAGAACCGGTTAATTAATCGGAAGTATACAAAACCGTAAATCTCAAACCAATTAACGTAAAAATAATTTTTTTTTAATTATATTGAATATTCTAAATAAGAAAATAATATTTATAAAATACTAAAATAGATTATTTTAGAACTACTAAGTATTAAAATTTAAAAATACCAAAATAAGAGTGTTTGATTGCGGAATCGTATCGGCGAACTAACAAAAGATTCTCAGTAGTCAGTACCTATGATATAGGTACTGAATACTGATACGAATGGTAGAAACATCACAGACTTCTATACTATATAGAAATCTGTGAGAAACATCGACGAATGCGGGCTGATACATATATATATAATAGTATATAACTCTTGCATGTACGATATTGTACCAAGTACTAGGTAATAGGTACGTTATAACTTATAATCAGGGACTGTTTTGATATTCATTATTTAATAATAAGTTCGTTACATTAGTTCGTAATAATAGTAATACTGAACAAAACTGTGTAGTACTATACTAAACATGTTAAGTTTGATGAAAAAAATAGAGTAGTTATTAAAACAAAAAAAAACAAAAAAAAAACGGTTTTGTGAGGTAACCGGTAATTTTGAAGATTTAAAACCGCTTCCAAATAGATAACCGGTAATCCAATTTATAAAATTTATTTCGTTAAGCGGGAAGTGATTATCATTATTTCTAAAAACCTCGATAACCGGTAACCGGTTCCAAAAAATTTTCCGTTAACCTATTTCTTCAGGAGCGGTTTCAAGCCCTGAATTTACCTATATTAGTTATATTACTTATAGTATAATTCTTGTAATTTCTTATTAAAATTAATAATTTACTATACTAATAAATTATACAGAACGTAATAAGGGTAAATGATATTATTAATGTCTTGTACTTTCAATTTGTCTAATTTTATTGAACAACTTATTGTTTGAACGTTCACTATAATTAAACATCAATGTGACAATGTGTTTTCAGTTGCCCAATACATTTCACACAAACTATTTATGTCGGATGTAATCCATATAATGGTCGTTAACAAATATTAAGCACTAAGAACCAAACTAATATAGAGCTGAAATTAAGTAACAATAAACGAGGATGTACACATAGGCGCAATTTCAACTTTTGACTTGGGGGGCTGAATATATTAAGGGCAAGCAGACCCGTGGGGGGCTATGCCCCCCACACCCCCCACCGTCACCATTCATATTATCTTACCTTATAATATTACTTCATAATCCAATTAAATTTTTTTTCTTCATTATTATACGGTCGACCTACCTCAATTTTCAAGTGGGGGTGTGACTTATAATAACATGATTTTAACAACATAGTAGGTAATACATTTATTAATTAATTTCAATATACCTATATATCAAACAATATAAACAAACAACAAATTATAATATTGTAACCTTTTAAGTTAAGTTTTGTTAAGTTTTTAAAAACGTTGAAATAAGTTTGAATGCACTGATCAGTGATCATGTAAAATGAACGATAGAGTATAGACTGACGTAAACGCGGATTGTTAACTGTTGTAATGAAAACGACAAGCGGATAATATGACGTACCTAACCATAATATGTAACCAAAATATAAATGCATTCAGAATTCAGATAGGCGCACTAAATGGTCGCAGGAAAAGACCTAGTTTGCCGAATTTAAAACAATAAAAATAAACATTTAATATAATATAGAATAAACTATATATAAACACGTCATGTCAAATATTATGCGGGCTTATCGCCTGTTACTAGCATCGTGGGTTTAGTAAAGAGTATCTTTTATAATTATTTATTATGAAGTAGGTAGGTACCTAAATATACATTTAGTATAATATACAATCGCGATCATGACGTGATAACAATAATAACACAATGTAATAATAATTCCAAATAATATAGGATAAAAATAATATTATACATTCATTTCTACAAGATCGGTGATAATTTTTATTTTATAAATAACATAAATAATATATAATATTATTTAAATATGTAAGAGATTAACTAATGGCCTTTGCTGCCGAGTTATATATAAAGATCAATAAAAAAAAAAATTATTTAAACATAAAAAAAAAAAACTGTACACATTTATAATATTATAGCATTATAAACTTGTAGATTTTTGGGGGGGCTACGGCTAAGTTTGGGGGGGGGGGGGGGGCTAAGCCCCCCAAGCCCCCCAATTTGCGCCTATGGATGTACATCATACAACAAGTAAAATCCACCTAAATATATACACGGCATTGTGATTATTCCAACTAAAAGTTATGTGACTAATAAAGTTAACCGATTAAAGAAGACAATATCATATTTGGAACAAAAAAACTGTACCAAATTAATTAACAAATAGAAATTTAATAAAATAATTTTATTATATGGTTATAACTTATACCTAATACACACAATGATTATAAAAATACTTATAAATAAGCTAATGTTAACATTTCAAATCCCTATGTAATTCATTGGAAATTTGCATTTTTAAATAGGTAACATTTGTGGAAAATGCATCGTCCTGTCTTTTCAATTATAAAATAATCCAGCTATAAAAATTATAAAAACAATAATAATAATAAATAACAAATGATATTAACCATTAAATTTTTTTTAAATTAAATAAAACTAAACATTGCTTTTAAAAATATTCTTAATTAACAGTTTAAATTTGATGGAGTAATACAAATTATAGCTATGAATTACATTTTTTTTTTTAAATCTAATAGTTCAACATAATTATAGGTTAAAATATAATTAGGAATATTATAATATTATAATATTCGAATATTTTATTTTTTTTATTTTATTTTTAAACTAGACAAGTGTACAATCTGTAATATAATGGTCTACAATAAGCACTAGTGATAAAAGAATAAGTATAGAAAAGACAAAATAATAGGGTAATGTAACAAACAGGTTGATAATTACAATTATTTACATCAATTCAGACAGGGGGGATGAGTGAAGAGACCATCCATTGATGGGACTTCGTGACATGTGGTGGTGGAGGTTAGTCTAAAAGTAAATCACGACACCACGTTCGTTTTAGCATAGAACAGTATAGAAGCGAAACTCGATCAGCTGATTGGGGTATTGGTTCCCTATGATCTGAAGTCTGAACCTACGAAAAACATGGAATTGGTTTTAGTCGCCTTCTAGGGTCACCACTCACCAGGTGTAGTGGGGGTGGATAGTTCCGAGATCAAGGGGTTGCGGTGATTGTGGAGATTGGTGTGCATGCGTTTGTAAAAAGACTTGGCAACGTTTTTTACTGTTTGGATGGATAGATCTTTATGGAGAGTATCATTAGAGACATAAAATGGGGCTTTAGTTATTTGTCGTAGGCATTTGTATTGAAAAGATTGAATTTTATTAATATTGGAGTGTTTGGCAGCACCCCATAATTGGATGCCATATGTCCATATTGGTTTGATTAGTAATTTGTATAAGAGAAGTTTATTTTTAAGGTTTAGATGTTTAGATGTTAAGAGAAAGCGTAATTGACGAGTTCGATCATTTAGGGCAAGCTAAGTTTTGTGTGGATATGCGTTGCCCAGGTTAGCCGGCGGTCTAGGTGAAGACCTAGGTAGCGAACGTTTTGGGCAGATGGAAGCGGAAGGAGATTAAGGTACACCGGAGGGCAAACAGCTTGCCGAAGCGTGAACTTACAGTGGACGGATTTGGTTTCGTTAACTTTAATCCCCCAATCTTTATACCATATTGATAGGAGATTCAGGTGGTTTTGGATGAAGTTTTAAGACGTTTCAGGGTTTGTGAGGAGAGCCAAGAGTGCCTTATCGTCGGCAAAGTCCCCAATATTTAATCGAATGGTTTTTATTAAAATAGTAAAGTTTATCTAATAGTTTTTAGTTTTTAAAAACTTTTTATTTTTTATTCGATTAATTTATCGAAAAAAAAAGTCAAATTCATTCAAACTTCGATTATTTGAGATTCTGAGTGGAACGATTAATGTAGGTATTGATTTTACAATAATGTGTGTTTTTTTTTATTTTCATTTTTTTTGTGTTTGTCATCATCTTTTAGGACAGTAAAAATGCTTGGATTTTCTTCAACAGTACCTTTTCTGATAGAAAAGTGAATCTAGTTGGTACTTTGGGGAGTCAAAAGTAAAAATTTCACAGAAGTTTTTAAAACCGAAGTGAAAAATTAAGGAAAAACGGGAAATTTTACGCAAAATCTGTCTTCGAGAAAATCGATTTTGGTTTTTGGTGCAACTCTTAAACAAATGACCGTAGGTACATGGAATTTTGACTGAATGTTTATATTAGAATTTTCTATACACCATAAATATTATTGATCCAAATATCTTGACTTATTTTGAGCTCTTTAAGGACATTTTCAGTTTCCATTTTTTTTTAGTTTTTTTTCTAAAAATAATAAATATCAATAAAATTTTATTTGTTGGTTAAAAAAGCTTGAAAATTTAATAGAAGTCTCCTGGTATATTGTTTGAAATTCAAATGAAAAATATTAAACATCCTAGCTTAATCACAGTTTTTTTTTATAAGCATGTAAGGCTCAGTCAAACACAAAGCGGTTTGTCCGCGCGGACACTGTAAAATAATACAACCACCCGGACTGTCCGCCACGGACAGCGGACCCGTACCTACACCATGGCAGACTGCTTTCTGTTTGACCGAGCCTTTAAAGTTCAAAAATTGACAAAATATGGAAAAATCACGAAAATTAGTGAATTATTTTGAGTTAAGAATTTTTCTTTTCAATCTAAGATTTTAAAATGTAATACAAGATTCCTTACAAGATTATCTACCTATATCAAAAAAAAAAAAAATGTCCATGAGAAAGTCAAATTAAATTTTTATGAGCATTTGAAATTCAAATTTTTAAGGGCACTGGGCAGTAAAACTGCTGCGATTTTCTTCAACAGTATCTTGTTTGATGGGAAAGGGAATCTAGTTGGTGCATTCGAGAGGTCAAATTTTAAAATTCCCAATAGCTAGTTTTCACAAGCGCCGGGAAAAACAACATAAAAATTAAGGATAAACGGGCATTTTAACGCAAAATTGGTTTTTGATAAAATCGATTTTGACTTTTGGTGTAACTCTAAAAAAAATGATCCTAAATACATGACATTTTTACTGAATTTTTATATTAGCCTTTTATCTACATGAAACCATTTTCAAACAATTTTGACTTGTTTTGAACTGTTTACGGATATACTCAGTTTCGAACTTTTTTAGGTTTTTTTTCTACGAATGTCAATAAAACTTTATTAGTTAGGTAAAAAAGCTTGACAATTTAATACAAAGCTCCTATTATGTTGTTACAATGACGTTTGAAAAATATTAAAAATCTTTAGTCACAGTTTTTTTTTTATAACCATTTAAAGTTCAAATATTGACAAAATACGGAAAAAACACGAAATCTTGCAAATTATTTTTAGTATTTTTTAGCATATTATATCTTAGTCCGTAAAAGATTGTTCTGTGGTGATAGTATTGTAACAATATTCTAACCATGAACTATGATTAATCATAGTTCATGATTCTAACTATTCTGAGGTTGTAACATGGTTGTAACTTGTAGATAATATTATTATATAATAATATTATTATCTATAGCCATATTTTAAGCACAAAATTGAAAATAAAGCAAATAATAACAAGTACATTACTTAGATAATACTATCATACTTGATACTCGAACGACGAGCACAGACAGAATAATTGTCGATATCACTCTTTAATGATCAATGATCTTCAGTATTTCAGTCTATGCCTATGCCTTATACGTTTTAAGTTAATGATGATAGTGTAATTTTTATAGGTATCTACTGTAAATGTGCCCAGCACATAGAGTTATAAGTGTATATTAAGATAATAGTATATTATACTCGACGACTTCAGTATGTTGCTGCAATCAATAAAACGTCTGTTTAAATCTAAACAATCACGTACCTACACAAAAAATGCACTTGAAGAATGCCTAAAACTAATCAAACTGAATTTATATGGACAAGAGGAATGAAAATATGACGTACTCATACTAGAATGTGGGGAAACGCCTTTGATGTAGAAATAGAAATAGTTGGTACGCTACTGCCGTTTATTTTAATTTTAATTTAATTTTTCTGCTATGGTAATTGGTAATGTCAGACACTCAAATTGGAAATGTTCAATGTACAGTATAATACAACAGTTAAATTAAATTTATTTTAATCAGGCTGTTAAAAAAAATATAAAAATTAAAATGGTCTGAATAATTTAATTATTTGCCAATTAAAAATTGATTTTAAATTTGACATTGATTTATAATCAACAGTACATACTATTGTAGAGTCTGTAGAATATAAGCATAGGTTTTTTTCATTTCTATGACCAATCCAACTTATTTATTTATTAAACTGACCTTTGTACTACTTAATGATTATTTTTGTTGAATATTGACAGATAGTGTACTAAAAATCTTTTTAATGGAGCTATCATATTTATTATACATTCGGTGATAAATTGACATGGAACTGAATTCAATGTTGTCAAACAAAGGACTAGATTTAAGATTTGTGGATATAACGTACAAAGTAAACAATTGGACTGATACATTTAAAATAGGTATATTTTTTATATAATAAGCTAAAATTAACACTAAGAATAATATATTTAATAATACTTTATTTACAGAAAAGAAAACTATTTTAAAAGGGGTGAGTGGTGCGTTTTATCAAGGTCAACTATGTGCAATTATTGGATGTTCGGGATCTGGAAAATCATCATTATTAAATGCACTATCTGGTTATAAGTAAGTAAATTACTTTAAAAGATAAAAATTTTATATTTTCCTTTTTTGACTAGAGAAATCATACAGTACATTAGATATTAATATTTTTAAATTCTAGAAAAAAATCTTAACTGGAAAATATTATTTTATTATTATTTTTGTTTTGAAAATTATCAACAATGTTAGAAATAATATTTAATTTTATGGTACACTTTTGGTGGTTTTTATGAGACCAGTACCTATATAAATAATAAATTTAACTTATTATAGTGTAAAAATAATCCTCGAAATAATCCTATTAATTTATTAACTATAGGACAAGTGGATATAGTGGAACAATATTTATTAATGACAAACCTCAAGAATTGGAATCGTTTCAGAAACAATCATGTTACATTATGCAAGAAGACCAACTTCATATGCAATTAACGGTCAGAGAAGCTATAGAATTTGCATCAAAGTTGAAATGTTTAACTTTATCATTAAACGCAAGCAAGCTTAAAATGGTAAGAAATTTAACTTTTAGTTATTCCCATAATGGCATAATTCTATAAGAAACACATAAATGTTATGCTATAATATCTACTATTTCAGATAGATTTGATTTTAGAAAATTTGAATCTGCTTAAAATTCAACATACGGCTACAATGAATTTATCTGGTGGTGAACGTAGAAAACTATCCATTGCATTAGAACTGGTCCATAATCCAAGCATCATGTTTTTTGATGAACCAACCAGGTGAGTTTATATTTTTATAATATTACCAAATTATTTAAATTTTAGAGTTTTTAATTAATTCACTATTAATAAATAAAAAATTATAATTTTTAGATTTTATGTTTAAATATTATATAATTTCAATGATTGGATTAATTATATTTATTATAATTAAATTTAGCGGATTAGATAGTTTATCAGCAAATCAAGTATTAGCCACATTAAGAGGACTAGCCAACACAGGTCGTAACATAATTTGTACAATACACCAAGCTTCTGCTCCACAATTAAAGATATTTGACATTCTTTATGTACTTGCTCCATCTGGTCAATGTATTTATCATGGTTTGACATCAAATCTTCTAGATTATCTGGCTGTCCTAGGTTTACGATGTCCATTGTATCACAATACTGCCGACTACAGTTAGTATATTATAACTATTATTTATTGAATCTTTATTTTACAATTTTTATTTAAACTAAATTAATTAATTGATGGTTTTGATAGTAATTGAAATAAGTCTTGGAGAGTACGGAGATCAAGCTGAAAAATTGGTAAAATATATCGATAATGGAAAGTCTACAGAATGGTTAAAGAATACTTGTCAAAAACATTTAGTTAAAGGTTTGTGAAAATGAAACAATTTATTATTTAAGTTGTTTTTGTCAGTGGCACCAAAGGTTTTAAAATGTCGTTGGGCAATTTCAAAACTTTGAGGCCTCAATATCTTAATTTTATTATTTAATATAAAGGTGCCGTAGTATATACATTTACTCATAATAAATTTATGACATAAATAAAATGTCCTAAATAACATGAACTTCTGTTTATTTCGACCTACATCATTAGGCTTCTATAAAGTAAATATTAAGTAATATTGTGGTGGAGACGTTTAGTACATAAAATATAGTGTTATGTATGCTTATTTTTATAAGCAAGTTTAATTTTTGATGTGACTGTCAGAATTGTAGATAGTTTACTATTACACTAATTAACACTGGTTTATCTAATTTCAGAGGATCACTTGATAGCTGTTAACATCAATGACGAATGTAAAAATACACAATTTACCAACCATTTGATTCAACTTGTTATTTTATCACACAGGTCTACAGTTAAGACATTAAGAGAAAAAGTAATTATAATAGAAATTTAGATTTATTTTTACCATTTACATAGTATTTACTATACATAAATTATATAAATACATGGTATTTTATTGTATTTATAGTTCATCACTACAAGATTGATGGTTCATATTATTGTTAGCGCTGTATACGGTTGGGTATACTTTGGTGTTGGTATCAATGCATCATTTATACATGATAATCTAATGCTGTTGTTCTTCAGTTTACTGTTTATTATGTATACTGCTAGTTCGTCAATGATAATCAACTGTAAGTTTTGCACAGTTAATAATTAATAACATGTATACAGGGTGATTCACCAAAAATATTCACTTCCATTTTTTCCTTTAATAATGAATTGATTCAAACTCTGATTTTTCTAAATATACACCTCTATTCTATGGCGATACAAACTCTGTTTTTTATTATGTAAACTATTTAATGGATAATATTTTTGTTAATGTTGATGTACCTAATTCAAAATTTGAATGAGTAGTTTCTCAGTTATTAAAATGTTTGTACTAAGGATAATTTATTATAGTCCTTAAAAATGGTTTTACATAAATATAAAATATAGGTAATATTGGATTTAGTGTTTATTATTCATTATTACTAAGTGTTACTTGGGCCATTTTTACAAACTAATAATTAATAATTATTAATGTTGATGGATTAACATTAGCCATTAACATTTTTAAATCACCATAGTCCCTAACTTATGAATCCATTATTTATGAACTTTTCATTCTTTGTACAAAAAGTTAAATAGGTAACTAAGACACTACTTGTACAAATTTTGATTCTGGTACATCAGCATTTTCAGAAAAATTATCCACTAAATATAGACAGTAGAAAAGGTGGTTTCTTATTTGAAAAACTGATGTTTATATCTACACAGGAGTACAGGACACTCCTTACGTAGTACAACAAATCTCAAGAATTTAAAAATCAGATTTTGAATATCTGCATTACTGAAGATCAAAGGGATGATCATGCTTGGTAAATTATCCTGTATAAGTATATTGAATATAATAAACTTTGTGTGAGTACATGCATTATAATGTATAATATATCCGTGACATTTGTGTTGTAGTTCCCTTAGAAATTCCAATACTTTCAAAAGAGCATTTCAACCAGTGGTATTCCTTGTCGTCATATTATCTGAGTTTCACTATAGTAGATCTACCAATTCAGGTAATGGTTTGAAAAGCCCCAATGAAAAAATAAAACATTGAAAATATATCTATATAATAATGAAAAAATTGAACACACACATGGTTATAATAATAATAAAAAAAAAAAACATTAAACAAACACCAATACATCAGATAAAGGTATATACTTTTCTGAAACTACTCCATAACTTAATTAGTTAAATTTAATACTGTTTAGTTTTATATATAATAGTATACTACATTTTTTTGATGTATTAACTAATGTTTGTCTTATAAACATGATTCACTGATTCAATGTAACATCATCGTATGATGTATCCCTAGTATTATTTTTTTACACAAACAACAAATTATTTCTATTTTTCAGGTTCTGTGTACATTTTTGTACTGTGTGGTACTGTACTATTTCACTGGACAGCCACTTGAATGGCCAAGATTTGGATTGTATACTCTCATGATGTTAATGGTGGGACTGTTATCACAGACCATAGGCATGTTAATGGGAACATTGTTCAACGATTTAAGAGTGAGTATTTTATAATATGTTTATGGCATTAACCGTAAAGTGTTAATTACTTTTTTTTTGTTATTATGTTCATAGTTCAGCACGATTCTAACAAGCTTCTTGCTCATGCCATGGATGATGTTTGGTGGAATTTTTATTAAAATATCTGATACACCAGAGATTTTTCGATGGTTGTTTGACATTTCCTTTATGAAACATGCCATGGAAGGAATAGTGCATTGTGTGTACGGTTTGGATCGACCCAGGTTATATTGCCCCAAAGTATGCTATTACTACCATGTTTGAAAGATTCAGAGTTCTATAATATAATATTTAAACTTTGAATATCATTTCAGATTTACTGTTACAGCTCTTCGCCCTCAAGTATATTAAAAGATTTGGACATGCCAGTCAATAAGTATTGGTTTAATTTCTTTGCTGTTACTGCCATTTACTTGATATTGAAGGTGCTTACATATTTAGTGTTGAAAAAAAAGTTAGAAATTCACTGATGGGCTAACATTCTTAGTTTTATGTTTCAGAAGTCATCATATATAGACATATAGTATATATTTTTATTTGAACCATTCGCATTGATATTCTTACCAATGATTTTTTCTGTTTTGACTGATACCCCAAAAACTTTGCCAAAGATAAAACATTAAAGTGATACTAAATAATAATTATTATATTATCAAATTAAAAATAAAGTCAATTGTTTAATTTAAGTTTTTAAATTACAAACTAATGTAATAATTAATGAGACTGGTGATTTCTGTGTGACTATTATCATTTATCACTGTTTAATTTATTGTTATTGTTTACCATTATATTATTCACTTACTTCGTTTTATTTATTGTTTTAAAAAATATGTTGCATTTTTATTTTATTATTTATGAAGCAGAATGTTTACTCTAGTCGACAATGTGTTTACTTTGTACGATTTATTATGGACATACATATACAGTTTTATATATTTCATTTGACTTTTGATATATTTAAACATATTTTATGTGTCTTTTGGCCATAGACTAAGGTCATTCCAATTGTTTTAAATATATTTCAAAATCTTGATGTAGGTATTTAAAATGTTAAATTAATTTTATTTTTATAACAATGTAAGCTTTATTGTCAAAAAATTTAATCATCACAAAAAATATTGTAAGACGTGTTTTATATTAATAAATATTAAACAATATTTGTTTTTGCCTAGTTATTTTATATACAAAATATTAATACTGAAATAGAATAAACGCCAAATGAAATTGTACATCTTAAAAGAAGTTTAGTAAATTGCAGTTCACCATCTAAAACCAGTTTTTTCCTATGTTAACTGGTGATTCTCCCAATGGAAGCAGAGTTTATACTATGTATTATGTAAATGCAATGTATGAAAGATAATTTTTTAAAAAAAAACTCATTATTTTAAATTTATAAATCTATTTCTTACACTATGTGTTTATGAGGCCACCACTATGTTAGACATTGTTTTTAAACATTTTCATCATTTTGGCATTGATTGGTTATTGTCTATAGTCATCTTATAACATTTTTACATGCAGGCAGGTCTTTTTTTTTTACAAAATAGTTACTAATTATGTCTTATTTATCTTTTTACTACTAAATTAAAAGGCAATATTTATTTTTAATTGTATACTATTGTTATGGAAGAGTTCTACTTATTAGTTATTACATTAAGATTTATGCAAGTATGATTTTAAATTTGGGTAAAATTCAATATTCAGTATTTTAGTAAGTTGTTTTGTTTGATATACAAAAACTAACCCAGTCACATTAAGTTATATTCTGACTTGCAATACGCCACACAATAACAACTATGAATATAAGGACAATTGACAAACATAATTTATAGAAAAATTCAATCAGTCTTCAATTAAATGTATAGAACATTCTAATAATTAATATCCTATCAAATTTATATAACAATCAAAGATATTTAATTAGTTATCCCAGTGATTGGCCAATGGATAGGTTATGTTATTATTTTATTTTACATTACAGCTATTATTTTTTTATTCTAAAAATTGTTTGGCCAGTATTATTGACAAAATCACCAAAAACAAATAAAATCTAATAAGCATTATGATTTCAACATGGACACATATATTTCAATACAAAAAGACTGCAACAGTTTAAAAAATATATAATCAACGAATGTAGGTGAAAAAAAAACAAACAAGACAATAATAATTTACAAATAAAAACTATGTGTGATATGTTTCTAAAATAAAAAATAAAACACTAAGCACCCAAAGAAAACCTCTAATAAACATTTACCAAACAGTAATTTAATAAATATAATATGTATTACATAATATTATGATTCAATGATTGTATTAAGTAATAAAAAATAAGTCTGATGTTCAATATTGCTCAATATTCAATAGGAAATATTAAATTGTTGGTTGATGCCTGTTTCGCAAGAGAAGCGTTTTTCCTGGCTGATTTACTCTTGCGTCGTTTGTGGTCTTTCTTAGAGTCGGCTACAACTGTAACTTTTGACGATACAGTCGTTGGTGTGCCATTACTATTGTCATCAGACATTTCCCCAGCACTGCTTTCTGACACGCTGGTCTCTTCGCTTTCTGAAACCACATTTAGCGGCCCATACGCTCTGTCTTCGGCTTCAGACGCTTCGCTTTCACTAGGAGTATTATATTCTCGTATATTGCGCTTACGCTGCTGACGTTGTCTGTGTTTTTTTGCTTGTGCTGCTATGCTTATATTGAAGCTGAAAATTGAAAATTATACTGTAAGACATACCATTTAAATATTGTATAACATTTTATAATGCATACTTAATCATTTTTTCAATGACATGATCATTAAAACGAACGGTTTTTTTTGAACTTAAATCATTCATACTTGACCCCAGTACATCTGAACTTTCAGTGTCCACGTTGTCCACAGATGAACTGTATATTTGAGAAGACAAATTAGAGTCATCTATGGTACTACATTCAGACAAAGCTCTTTTTTTTAAGATTCCTCGCTATCGGAAACAAAAAAAATTCATATTAATTTAAATGTTTGCACATTTAGAAAAAAAAATACAATATTTATTCATAGCATAATCACTTACGATTGTTGGTCTGATGTTATTAAATTCAATTGGTAATGATCCGGGTATGAAATCTACTGTTTTTCTAGTTTCTGGTAAACTGCCGACAACAGCTATTGGTATGGCATTTGATTTTTGTATCTTCTTTCCTTTCTTTTTTTTTCTTTTTTCCTTAGTTGTTTTAAGATTTTTATCTTTGCACCGATAATTTTCATCATTTTTCTTGATGCTCTGTTGTTTTTGATTATTTAATTCATCTTCTTTAGTATAGTCAAATACATCATCGTCATCATCATCATCGTCGTCATCATCACTGTCATTGAGAGGAATTGTAACACCGTTTGTTAAAGGTTTTGAGTTTTCTTTAAGTGTTTCCATTTTAATACAATGAATTTTTAAGTTATCCTGGTCAAGTCCATACCAATATTGATTGTTGTCAGGTTTAAAATGTATAGAAAAATGAAGTATAACATTTTTATCAGAAGGTAATACGTTGACATCAGACTTTAATAAGCTCGATTCAGATGGAATTTTTAAGCAAAAAGCAAACCATATAGGAAAAAATCCTGAACCAATGGAATGGAATTTGCAGGAGATCAAATTTTTGTCCTTAATAACTATCACATCAATCGATGTTGGATCGACGTTTTTTACGTTGAGCGTGAGAAAACATTTATTTTCAAAAATAAATTCGTGATCTGGCAGGATATAGTGTACATCATTTTCAGTGATATTACTATTATTACAGCTATTTCGCACAGTGTTGTCTTCAAGATCATTTGTGTTCACATTGTCATGACCATTAGTCACTATAGCTTTATTAACATCCATAGTATTACAATCTTGGACGTCATTGTTAATTTCACTATTGATCACAACTTCATCCAAATTACTATTTACAATATCAAAGTTATGACCATTTTCATCTTTGGACATTTCAACCTCACTAACAAGATTTTTTACATACTCCAGTGATGGCTCTGATCGCGAGACTGGAAGGCACACAATCAACTTTTTAGTACTTTGATCAAACGTAGCATTACCTTCATTTTCCAGTACGCTATAAGGCAAATTGATATCAAGTTTATACTTTGAAGGCTTATGACAAACTAAATTCAATGTCTTAGGGAGCACATCAAGTTCTACATTTGCTGAAGAGTCCAAGAGAGGTAAGTTAATTTCAATAATTAACTCTTTTGGTATGACAGCATTCATTTTACAATGCATATTATATCCGTGTTCTTGAATGTCTATGTCGTTTCGATATTTTATAATGTACTTAGGAACAGTAAACAGTGACTTTTGTTTCAAAGCACCAAGATCATGATGTTGAACTGGTCGATCAACCGGTGGCTTATACGGACACCCGGGTAATTCAGCAGACTGGGTTTCGGCGGACGGCTGGAAATCCTTGATCGACTTACGTATGACCAACGATCGAGCGACACCTTTGAATGCAATTTTCGGATACTTGAGATTAGCCTTGTCTAAAACAACATTGTTGTTCTTCTCGACCATACTGAGTGCCGTGTCCTCGACCATGTCTTTGAGACTCTTGCCGTGAGTGGTCAACTTGAGCGCGTCCGGATGAAACACCACATCGTACACGTCGCACGGCTTGTGGGCCTTGTCGTAGTCCTCGCGCACCGGCGACAGGCAATGAGGCAGGGACCAATGGTCACCGCCGGCGCCCGGGCGGCTGGTCGGCTTCTGCAGCACATCGCAACAGCACACGTTGATGAACACCTTTCGCACGCCGTTGGCGCTCGTCTTCACCACGTACCCGGGCTGCGGGCGCACGAACGTCACTCTGGTGCCGCGTTCCAGTTCGTACTGTTCTATCTCCCGCTCGTACTGCGCACGGTTCTCCGGGTCGTTTATCTCGTCCACGTACTCGCACAGCAGTTTGCGGAACTGTTCATTCTTCAACGCCTCGCCGATGCTGTCCAATTCCTGTTTGGTGATGTCCAGATCCTCGAGCTTTGCCTGTCGACTCCTGTCGTCGTTCATAGCTCGATCCCGTGAGTTTTCGGGCTCTCGTACTGTCGTCGTCGTCGACGAGGAAAAAACGATCGGTCGGGAGTGTGATTTTCGTGTTTGCGCAGTAGTGTTCACCGTTTACGTTATCCGTCCGCCGCGGACCGAACAGTAAATATTATTGTACGTATTATTATTTTATCGATAAGTAGGTGGCACAATTAAAGTCGTGCCTACCTATTTATTACTATTGTTGTCTATTGGTGGTGCTGCTGCTGCGGCGGCGGCCTATGATTTACAACTACAACTACTGTGACCGTCACGGAAGTAGCATAATAATAATACTATATAATAATGTTTACTATTATATTATTATTATATATATATTCATGGTTTAATCGAGCATTGTTCAACACACCAATACACCATAGATACGTTATCGCTTATCAGCGGTGGACCTCCCGGCCGGCCCGGCATAGATACAATATTATCAGCAACTCCGGGTTTACAGCTGTTTCTTTCGGATAACACGGATGTCGGATATTTGTTGTTTTTTCCGTTTTCGTGCGTCATGGGATTCAACAACATTATTATTATGACGTGTATGACCATTTTATACCATTAAATGAATACATAATTATCATTATGTTTTTGAAATGTAGCAACAGAAGTAACAAAACGATAATCTAAGTTGTTAACTAAACTCTAAAGTTACACAATACAGACAATAGACATATAGGTATAATATTGGCATATTAAAATAGGTATACCTACAAATTCATATTATTTATTACTATTCCTATGATAATCCACCGTAAATTATAATAATATTCAGTACCTATATTATAATAATATAATCCTGACCTAGGCTCCCTCTAGAAACGGTTTACCAGAGAGATTGTCGATGTTCACTTCTATATCTATTTTCAACGTCGTACATTTTATTGAGCATATTATTATTACTAATTATATTTGTTTTTATGATGGAAATAAAGTACGTGTCTATTTGGCAACAGTCCACGTGGTCTGGCTTCTCTCGTCTCCGTATCATACAAAAAAAAAATATACAGCAGTGTCAATTATAAATTATAATAATTAATAAATTAGCCGATAAAATATAAAATACGTCACGACGACGATTAGTATTTGGAGGACGTTATCGAGTGGTTTTCATTATGCTACTGCAGTTAGCCGTGGACTACGAATTAAGTTAGATTATAGGTACATTGTTATATTACTTTATTGCATTAATCTTACACAGGTAACTAACTGGTGGTCTCCTCTAGAACGTGTATATTGAATAATAAATATTATAAGACGTTCAGATGTGTACTAAATAGTAAATAATATAAGTCATAACTCATAACTCATAACTATCCATATCATAGACAAGGTATAGAGTAGGTATTACTCGGCTATAATTAACATCGACGCCTATTAAAAGATTAATTATAGTGAACGTGGCTTCGTCGGGATTAGACCTGGGTGGCTTGGATCGAATATTTCTATAGTTGTAAACTTGTAAGTTCTAACTTTGTTTTATTGTACCAACCATAACTTGGTAGTTGGTGTGCTGATGCATATTGCCTGGTGTTGGTATTTTAATTTAGAAAAGTTGTTAAAAAGCGAAAACTGTTTTCAGTAATTTTTACAACATGCCACATGCCACTACACTAATTGTTTCTCTTCACAATTTCACGTCACGAATAACTTTTTCTTCAACGAAGGTCTTTTTTATTACTATTCAGTTTTCTACACCAAATTTGACAAAATTTTATTTTATAATTTATTATAATAATTATAAAAAAAAAAACCTTCAAAATCTAACCGGTTGAAAACTACTGGTCTATAGTTACCTATATATGTTCTTGGCACCTAACGGATTGGACATAAAAGTCAAAAAGTAGAAATAATTTAAAACAATCGACTGACCCTCAAGTTGTTTTTTTTCTTTTGAACTACTACTAACTATATAAAATCATTAAAAATTACTAGGTACCTATAGAACCCGAAAGTGACTCTAAAAACAGCGAAAATAATATATCCATGTAGAATGACACATATAAATGGAAATATTAAATTATAAAATGTACGAGTAGACGTAAAAATGTTAATGTAAACAGTAAATGCACAATAGATAGACAGATAGTGGCATAGTGCAAACATTATATAACTATAAAGTTTAAAAAGGGAGTAAAAATGTGATGTTTAATTGTTTTAACTATAGCGCATTAGCGCTCAATATTTAAATAATAGGTTTACCGATTACTAGTAAACTAGGTGTTTGGGTCGAATATCTAATATCAATTACCTATATTATTTTTAAAAAGTCATTATTCACTATTCAGAGATACGACAGTGAGGGATCGATTCCCGTTAGGTACCTTGAAACATTTTTTGCTTTTTCTCCTTTTCTTTAAACAATTTATGAAAATTCTTATTTTGGTAATTTTACAATATTTATATTTTTGTTAATAGTTAGCTTATGACGTATAAATATTATAAAATCATCAGCTATGAGAATGTTTATTCCACATAAATCATGTGTGGGCACTACTATAAAAAAAATATTCATTACCTATTCATTATATTTTTATAATTTGCTAATTTGTAGTTTAGCATTTTTTCTTCCAACTTTCGAATTTGGAGTGAATCTAAATAAAATACATTTTATCATCTGCTGGTATAAAATTAGATCGTGATGTTCACTGTACTATTCATTCATTATACATACTTCGTACATCTGTAAAATACCTACATATTATTACGTACTAGTGTCTAGTGTATTACCTATACCTACCTATATTAACTATTATATTGGCAAAAACTACCACAAAATACTATATAGACCTTTTTATTACATTATTACATTTTTGGTTTGAAGCAAAAAAATATTTTGATACAAATTACTTAAATGTATTAGTTTGGTAGGTCGTGAATAATAAACGATACCTATTTTTAATTTGATTTTGAATTACCTAGGTATACACTATACGCTATAGTGGTTTTTAATTATTTTATGTCGTTTAACGTTTTAAGTATAATTGTATACATTTATAATAGGTATACATATTAAATCTATAAAAAATAAAAATCTTTAATATCTATAGACATTAAGTCTAACTTTAAATAAAAATGTAATTGTAAACAATTGTAACCAATGGCCTTTGTCTTCGATGTTAATTAAGAACAATAACAAATAATAATATCTATAGGTACTATGAAGCTATTATTAAAGCCACAATGTTCATATAGATTAATTGTATAGGTGTTAAATACTAATAAGCAGTGGTGGGCTGCAGAAGGGCTCAATTTTGACGCAGCTGCGTCAACTTTTCAAAGGGGGGTGGTGCCACCCTGTGACTGCGGCGCAGAGTTACATGCTATTATGCTAAGACCCAACCTCGTGGCTCCATCGACCACATTTTATTTACATCATAACTTTGTTAAAAATTATAATGGGTCAACGGGGAGGGGGGGTGGTACTTAATATTAAGGCAAACGTAAATTGCGTCCGGTATTTTTCAGGTATAAAATATAAATTTCTGTGTAGTAAATTGAGCCCAATAAAAATGTACTCATCACTAACCTTGATCAAACTAGGATCTTGAACAGTTACTATGCTATATAGGTATGGAGTATTTTTGCTGGTCTTTCACAGATATCTTCTGTGGTTTTCCGCTTTGCACTAGCGGACACACAATTTCTCGTTGTAATTTTTGAATATCTATTTTATAACTGTGATTCACATTTTTTTCAGTCATATTATTTTTTTCTCCCATAGTTTTCAAAAATGCTTTACAAGTGTTTGCCTATACCTACATCGCCACTTTGTTTCACCCGAAGACAACTCACGTCTTAATTTTGAAAATGTTGGTAAATTATAACATCATTTTCTTTCTGGCTAAATCCAGTACCTATACCTATTGTATAATATCTTATTTCACTGTGGCACGCAAACGGCTTACTAAATTATTACCTATACCTATGAGTGCTACCGCAGTAAATATATTTAGAGAAGAAAACCGTTATTCTTGGTTATTTAATGTGTAATTTCCTCCAATTTTTAATAGATAATAACTAAAAAACCGTGATTTATATTTTTGAGATTTTTTGGTTACAGAAGAACCTACTTACGTGGAACCTTGTCGTAAGTTTTCAATCCTTAGCTCTAAAAGTTGAACATTTTATAAATTTTCAACTACAAAATCATTCATACATTTTTTTGGCAATATGCAATTTCGTTGCCGCCGCTCGTGTCATTTATGTCAGTCGTCAATGACAATACTTTCAACTTTGGGTTTTATTTTTACACAATCAGATAAGTTCTTCTAATTTAGATTCTTGAGATTTAAATATTTTCATCCGTAAAGAAATAACTTATAAGTAATAACAATATAAATGCATTTTTAGGACTTTGGAAATGGTTTGCCAATGCATGACTTCAGTAAATGAAGATAGAAAAAGCCACCTAAAGAATACTGATAATATCCTTACCTTTAAAACATTTGATAATAAATACTGTAATAATACAACTAAAAACACAAAATTAATTCCGCTGAAGTCCAAATATGTTCTATGTTGAACATGCATTATATAATATTATACTATATATGCGAGCTTCATGTCATAATAAGTATAATGTCTTGAGTCTCTACAAATTTTTTTTGTACCACTGCCGATTGATATGTGCAGTGGTGTTCGAGTTCTTAAAGTTCTTTATATTAATATACATTATTGTAAAAATATTTAAGCATACATCTATATAATATATTCGACGGCTGAAATTAAATCAACGAGTATTTTGTTACAACATAGAAACCAGAAATAAACAATGTATATATACGCAGTACATATTCTAAATTGGAACGATATAAAACAAAAATCCATTTGGTATATTAAGTATTCACTCTACACTCTTTCAACTATTCAACTGCTTTTCAAAGTTTTTTCCATAATTTATTGTACAACTTCATTAAGTTGTATCGTGCCATACTGCCATGTGATCTAAGCTGGGACGCATTATTTCGCTGCAGTGGCATTTTGCTACTTCACTCAAAATTCAAATTGTTCCGATTGATCGGAAAAATAAAAATAAGCGGATATTTCGTTAAAAAATCCAGACGAGCAATACATTTTTGGCTTGGTTTGGTATGTCGGCTGATAATTCATCTCCTACCGTAATGTCTGGATGTGACGCGATGACATGGAGTCTGCAATGCCTCGACGAATTATGCAGCTCCAAATAGGTTGTTACCAGTCTGTAAAGAAAACGTGTGGAAGATAAACGAACAGATGAAAATACTGGAGATAACTGGAGATTTGGAGCTGTGTCCGTGTTTGCGGACGAGCGATTTCCGAAAGATGACTAAAATGATGTGCCACGAGTATTTTGTGGACGATTTCGAAGTAGAAATGACCGAACAGGTTGATTCCATGGACCTCCTTGTGGCGATGTTTAATGGTTTGAAATTAGACGAGAAACGAGAAATAAAGGAATCTAAGAAAGAACACTTTGTGAGTATTAATACTTCCAAACAGCCATAATATTATACCACCGAAGCTGTACAAGCATACTATACTTACCCATTTTTGTATAAACTCTACACAAATCGGTATTCCACGGTTATATTTCAAATATCATGAACACTCTAGCCTTTTGAACACAAATTTACATATCATTGTAAATTGAACTGTGATTATAAAATAATATACTTTCTATTATAATTGTGGTGAATTTTAATTACAATTAATATTGCCAATATAATATTTTTGTTGTTATCAGGAGACCTTCCAGGCACATAGACCATACGGCCATACGGTCACACGGCCATACGCGAAAAGGATGAAGGTATCAAGATTTAATTTTTGATCGTGTCCATATTTGTATTATTGTTATTGATTTGTTAGAGCATTTTCAAAATATTTATTTTTCTGTTGTATGTTACCTATACCTATTTGTTTAATTATGATTTATAATAAATTGTTCATTTGCTTTGTATTCATTGTATTGTAATTTCATAAAAACAAAATACGATATTATACCTACGATAATATTATCTAGTCCTAGTGATAATATTGATTGTGTGAATCTATGCAGTTATATGAAGGGAATTAGTAAACCAATTTTAATTTTCATGTTACGACGTCCAATATGGTATTTTCAAAATTTACATTCAAGATTACTTTTTGAGTTTTAGTAGAAAAACCAAAAAAAATGGTAATTACTAATTAATATATTTATTATAAATATTGTTTATTCAGCTTATAAGTCAAGTTGAATCGATCACACTATCATTTTAATATCTAAAACATATAGCCAGGTACAACACATTTTTACTTAATTTTAGAAAATTAAATAAATACATTTTTTTAACTAGATAGGTAGTAGATACACTTTCATGTTATTTATCTCCATCTAAATAGTTATTCTACAAACTATCTCTTATATCCATAGATATTTTTAAACGTATCATAACACACAAGTTTTTTGCTTAACCGATTATTTTCGAAATAAAACTGGGAATTTTAAATTTTAACCTTCCGGAGTACTACTACTACCTAGATTAAGTTTGCCATCAGAAATTCAGAAACCACCCTCAAAGTCTAAAACCATGTTTATAGTCACACAAAAAAAAATATAAATACATTATTGTAAAATCAATTTATTGATTCATCGCTCCGTATAAAAGCTAAAATTCATAATCCTATAATAGGTGATATTATACAGTATACACAAAGTGAAAAACGTCAGTAAAATATTAACACATTTTTTTCTACGAATAGTCGTCAATATACTTCTAGTCTATACGTTTGTGAAATTACTTTGATGCACATTGTGTGTATGTTTAATGTTTATGTCAGACAAGGCCGCTGCCCTGTTGGCAATACAGGAAATAGTACATAAGCTAAGCATAGATGTAACTAGGGAGGAGGGCTTTGGGGGACTAAGCCCTCCCAACTTTGATTGTAGCCACCCCCTGTCATAATTATTATAGTCATATCAACTTTAACTTAATTTGTAAATTTAAATTTGATACATCGTTTAATTTTTTTTATTAACATCTTTGACCAACTATATTATTGTATGTAATGGTCCTGTGTAAAATCATGTATAATTTTGTCTACATAAATTCTACATAATTTTAGGCGTGCCGTCCCGGTAATATTATTATCCTGATTTTTACTCGGGCTCTCTCATAATATGTCATGTGCAGGGTTCGGATTTTATAGCACCAAAAATCCTAAAATATGCGCTATAATATGACCCAAACAACCGTAAAATATGCTCTATAAATATGCCCTAAAAACATAAAAAATAGCAACAAATAAAAATAAATACAAATCAAAATGTTATTCAATTTATCATAGAACTTTATTAAATCATTAATTTATATAAAAAAAAATTAAAATATCCGTTTACAGTTTTAAAAAAAATATGATCTGATTAATTTGATACCTTGAATTATGGCATCGTTTGTACGCAAATATTCAAAATTATGAGTAAACAAGAATACAATTCAAGTAATTATTATTTATTTATAAATATATTTATTACATGTTCAATAATATGTAACGAAAATGTGGGATTTTTTCTTATCGATTTGCTTTAATGAATACTATTTGTCATTCAATATAAACGAGATTTATGAAAAATATAAAATAAAGCGTTAAAATTATGAATATTAATTAATAAACATAACACCAAAACTTTAAAAATAGCACTAAAATTCTTCAAATATGCAAAAAATAGCAAAATAAAATTTCATATTTAGAGTCCCTGGTGCATAAAACAAATTTATAGTCCACTCTGCTATGATTTCCGCTGTCCTATAATAAGTAGCAAATGCTATAAAATCAGAACCCTGGTCATGTGCAATAATCATTGAGAACCATGGTGCACTGACATTTTTTTATCACAGATTGTCTCATCGACTTATTATAATAAGTGCCCGTATTACAATCATTAAACAATTTTCTTTTTTTGTAAGGTTAAACCGCCTAATTATATAAAAGTCGATTATTATTGCTAAACTAATTACAATTTTTTTAATGTATTTTTTAAGTATTTTTAACAAAATTTAAATAATTGTATTAAAATACCATAAATCCGTTTTATTAATTTAAATTTATTATTTTTTCACAACAAATTGACATCAATTAAAAATATATTGTTTTCGTTGAAAACTAATTTTATGTTTTTAAAAGTAGGTAATAACAATGTTTGAAATTTAAAAAATACCACATAAAATTTTATATGGTTTCTGTATTGGAATTTTTTAAGAAAACTGAAAATCTAATAATTTTAAAATAGTTCCATATACTAATAGTTAACACCACTTTTAATTTGATTTTTTTCATTAAAATGTAATCAATATTATTTGAAATATATCTGAATGCAGAATGAAATATTGTTAACATTTATCTCTAAATAGTCAGACATGTTATATAGTAATTGTTAAAATATATGGTAAGTAGTAATATACTAACTACCTAGACTGGTGTTAACCTCGGTACGTAAAGTCGTTGCATACGCGTAAAGGCATTGATATCGCTAATACCATAAGTCATAACGATTATAACGATAAACGTTCGGTTTATTCACCAATAAATGAACATCAGTATTTTTAAATTACACCTAATAGGTAACGATAAATTCAAGGTCACTTAGATGCTACGGGCGCCGTTAACTATAGATACCCATTTTAGACCCCGAAAAATATCGGACGAAATTTACTATTGTATTTTTACTACCTACCTGTGGGAGCAATTCACAAGCGCCCTAATATTATGATAATGCGTCATTGAAAATTTAAGTTCAGTCCTCCGCTGATAATCGTCCATCACCCATGACAATAATTAGTACGTAGCCAATACCTAGGTTTAGTTTAGGAAAATATATAATATGGAGGCTATCTGCAGGATATTTGAAATATGAATTTAACCCGTTGTTGGTGACGCAAATTTTTTCACATCATTAGTGACGTGTTAGCGTTTCGCTCACATTTAATTATTTTTGGAAGGGTGAAATTGGGAGACTGACTATATAATCTATAAGTAGACATTACAAAGAATCGAAATCAGTTTTAAAAACTATTATCGCATTACTAGGCCGATCAGTATGATGGAAGAAATATTGGTATGTTTTGGCTAAACTAACTGTCCACCGATCCCCGGCGAGCAAATACTAAGGCCGTGCTGGCGTGCTGGTAACTGTCGAAGTATCGACATTTGATGGTGATAAGACGGAAAGTTTATATATAGATAAGATATTTTACACGTATTTATTTCCAATAGTAACTTGTAGTAACCACGATTTAAGATATACGATTTAAGGTATATCTTAAATCGTGGTAGTAACGATCATACTAAAAATATCGATATATAACAAAATAATTTGAAGCCAATGGTTCCCAAAATAACAGTTATGTGAGCGAAATGCTCATAGCGTCACCAACGACGGGTTAAAATTATAGTAGGTTATCGTCGCTAATCAGAAATCTGTGAGTGTAAGTACATTTTATAATTTGTTATAATTATTACATTATAATTATAATAATATTTTTAATTCATTTTTACACTAGTAAAATATTACAGCTATTTGATATTTTAAGATTATTTATTTATAGGCAGTGGCAAAGCCAAGGGGTTAGGGGGGGTTTTTACTTTTGGTGTTTACCACCCCCCGGCCCCCACCCATTGACATTCCTCCACTAATAAATGTATTATTTATGTATAAAAACCTGGTTCAATGCATACCCCCCCCCCAAACATTACATAATCCAGGCTACACCACTGTTTATAGGTAGGTATATCTCAAACTGCCCACAGAATACTCCTTGCATAAAAATACAATAATGTTTGAAAAATTGGTCCTTGTTAAGTATAGATGATACCCCTGGGCCCTGATGATACTGTGATAGGTATATTTAATAGGCATTTCAACTTTTAAAAATAAATCGTAACAAAATATTTCATAATTATAATAAATAAAAGTAGGTCCGGCAACTTATTTGTAGGGAAACATTTTTTTTTAAAACGATCATTATTATTATATTCTGAGATAATATTTAATATTATTAAAGTCTTCGGATTATTACGATCGGCGCGTCGCGCATTATGGCCTTGGACATCGTTTTTGGTGCTATAAAAAGAGCCGGGCTGCACGTTTCCGCGTTTCAACGCGTTCTATCATAATTCATAACATATCGGCAGCCGCGTGTTTATCGCGAGTAGTCTGTCCTTCGCCCACCCTCCAATCCCGCCCACGCCGTCGTACTGCAGGCCGATGATGATAATAATAATAATATTATAACCACTAGTCACCGACGACGGTAAATACGAGAAACCGGAGAAACGAAAATCGGCCTTGTACACACTGCACAATAATAATATTATAATTAGTATTATTCTTGTAGTAATACTCGTAATAAGCCGTACCGAGTCGCAACAGAAATAATTATTTTATTTTTCCTCTCGTAGGTACACCTAATAATATTTTCTTCGTACGCGCGCACATGACAAAATATTGAAAACAAATTTTATTTCATCGTGCGCGCGCAGCATTTGAATAATAATAATAACGACGACGACGACTGCGACGATACCTACGTAGAGGGTATCCGCGCGAGTGCGCTACGGCGTTCGAGTCGGTAGACGGTAGTTGACAGTAGTGACTACTGACTTGACTATATAGTGCTATAGTCTCGGTCGACTGCCGGGTTACAACTTATAACTCAGTACTCGATTTCTCGATTGGCTGCCGGCGCGTACCGAGTACTCGTCGAGGAACCGGGGGAACTCGACACTCCGTCAGTTCATCATTCGTCAGTCGATGCTCGCACGCGGACGACGGCATGGACGAACGCGACGAGTTGGTGACGGACGGCGGAGGGATCGACGTGCAGTTTTCGGACGTGTCGTACTCCGTTACCGTCTGGACGCCCGGCAGGATATTCGGTCCGGGTAGGTACAGTCAGACGGACATTAATAATAATAATATAATCACAGACTTAAAGTTAACTTTAATAACACATTAAGGACCTTGTTGTGTCGTAATGTTATAAGTCGCGGTTAGGTTGGATAGTATGCCTATAGATTTCCAAAATATTATCGGGATACGATGCTGTTGTCGTGGTAATCCGCGGTGTGGTATTTACCGGCTAGTACATTATAGTTACCAAATTCTAAGAAAAATTAACCATGTTCAAGGCGGTTATTGGCCAACGTCGTCGTGCCAAGGTCTTCTGGACGATGTCATCTATCAAACTGTACAATATTAATTATTATAATCACAATGATTTGTTGTAATTATTATTGTTCTGCTATAAAAATATGCATTTAATTACCCTCCGATATTACCGAACAATAAATTAATAAACGCGTAATAAATAATTAGGTACCTATTCGATTATTAAAAATAAAAACCCGATTTAAATTATTTTTTTTAATCCGACTAATTTTAGCTCTACCGAATTTTTCAGTTTTTCAAATTTCAAATTTTTTTATGTAAAAAACAACTTGAGGGTTGTATCAACCCCTTCCCTCCCACCCAATGGAATGTATACTATTGACTTGAGTACCCTGTGCTCTGTTTGTCATCCATAGTTTTAATGCCGGAGGTCAATCTCCCGAGTAAATAAATAAAAATTAAAACAATTTCCGTGTTTGTTTCAGATAAAAAACAGATTTTAAAAAATGTCAGCGGCACATTCCATAAGAAACAAGCGTGTGCCATAATTGGATGTTCTGGATCTGGCAAGTCTTCGCTGTTGAATTTCATTTCTGGTTACAAGTATGACACAACATATTTATTATTATTTATTAAGTATTGGGTACTTACATTATTTATTTATTTTTAAAAATTTATTCATAGGACATGTGGTTACAGAGGAGATATAATTATTAACGGACAGCCTCGCAATCGAAAACAATTCATGAAACAATTGAGTTATATAATGCAAGATGATAATTTACAACCACACCTTACTGTATTGGAATCAATGGAAATAGCTTCTAAACTTAGAAACTGTACCATACAACTTGATGTCTACCATAAAATCTTAGTAAGAAATTAAAATTAATATTTAATTAAATATATAAATATTATGAAAAACTACGATTATTTTAGTTTGACATATTATGAAATATAGGTAACATTTGCTATTTCACAAGAGTGGTAATGTTCAATTTTTTTTCAGATCAAAAGAATATTGGATAATTTGAAGTTGTCAGAAAAAGAAAACACTTTGGCAGGAAAATTATCTGGGGGCGAGCGTCGACGACTCTCTATTGCTGTAGAACTGATACGTAATCCAAAAGTGATGTTTTTCGATGAACCAACAACGTAAATACTAGTTCATTATTTGTTGATGTAAATTGTTATTAATATTGTTCTTTATTTTGTTTAGAGGTTTAGATGTGGTATCCGCAAATTATGTGGTGTCCATGCTAAGAGACCTTGCCAATTGCGGTAAGACAATTATATGCACTATTCATCAGGCATCTGCTTCCCAATTGGAAATGTTTAATGCGTTATACATATTATCGCCCACTGGTCAGTGCATTTACCGTGGACAGTCATCAAGTCTTATAAGTTATTTATCATCTGTTGGTCTCCACTGTCCCTTACATCATAATCCTGCAGATTTCGGTAAGTTAAACTTCCCTAGTATACCTGACTGGCTTACTATGCTCATCAATATTATTGACAGCATTTAAATTTTTCCTTCTAACTAGTCATTGAAGTGAGTTCTGGAGAGTACGGTGATCACAACGAAACGCTTGTCAAATATATTAACAACGGAAAATCAAATGACTGGAACAATGACAAAAGTATTGAAAACTGTGAGTGAAAAAATATTGTATTGTTATTTTATCATACATTAATATTTAATATATTATTTTATGTATAGCAGATGTTCAAACGCAAAACCATCGTTCTAATTATTCACAACATATATGCATCTCAAAGTTTTTCAATGAACTTCGAATACTTATTAATAGAACGTTAATCATCTCATCTAGAGACAGTGTTTGTATTTTACATCTTTAATAAGAGGTATTCTAGTCAAAAAGGCTAAAGAATAAAACAAATGATTACATTTTTGTATTAATTTAGTTATTAATTGAAAAATATATTTTGATTGATGTCTCTATACCTACATAATAATATATTATACATCATACACAATTATATTAAATCATATTTGTTTCTTATATTTTTTACAGGACTTCATCAGAGTAAGAATATTTGTACCTCTCTTAATGAGTTTACTGTTTGGTTCAGTATATTTAAATATTGGAAAAAGTGGTTCGTTCACACGTGATAATGTTATAATGTTATACTTCAGTATGATGGCCATTGTTTACTTATCTGCCTATTCAATGTCTATAAAATGTGAGTGTCATTTTACTTTATAATGCGTCAATAACTTAATTGTCTATGTATAATATTTATATTTTAGTTCCAATGGAGTTGTTACTTATGCGATTAGAATATTTCAACCAATGGTATTCACTTCGTTCATATTACACGTGTGTGACATTAATGGATCTACCTTTACAGGTTTGTACAACATTATTTTATGTATATTAATTATTAGAGTAAAACTTTGTACTGTTATACATTTTAACAGAAATGTTAATTTGGAAAGAAAAATTATAATGTACATTGCCGTTTATATATTGTATACTTATTATAATTAGTATTGTTGAATAGGTAATTGGTATTAATTACAGAAAAATCTATTCTACTAAAGGTTTTTTAATTTTGTTTTGAAATTTGAATACTCTTTATCGTAATTGTTGTAATGTAATACATTAAACATAAAAAATAATAATAACAAAAATAGTTTTTAGTAAGAGGAAACAAATTTAAAACAATCACATCATTAATTTTTCAAATAATAATTACTAGGAATAATAGTATAATATAGGTATCTAGAATAATGACATAATATACAAGAATTGTATATTTCACTAGAATTGTTATTATATTATGCTATTGAATAAAAACACAGAAACCTCTACCAAATGTACTCTATTAAAAAAAAAAACTAATATAAAAAATAAATATATTTTAGTTATTGATATGAGGCAGTTAAAGCATTTAAGAATAAAAATTATTAATTTAAAAAATATACAAACATAGTCTGAACAAGTTAATATTTTATCATTTTATTCTTTTCTGTGGTTTCTACTGTAGGCAAATAATAATTATTATAGGTGCTTTACTGCTTTCTGTCTTCACACAACAATATTTTGTTTCAAACATATTAAATATTTCGCATTCCTAAAAAGTAATAAGACAGCATAAAGTATGGACATGGAGGCATCTGGCATCTTTATAGCTTATTTTATATTTTATTTTTTATTTGTTTTAGATTATATCCACGGGTTTATTTTGTATCGTAATCTATTTAATGACTGGACAACCATTTGAATTATTCAGATTTTCAATGGTTTTTTTAATGTTGATTGTAACTGGCTTAATGTCTCAAGCAACAGGAATGTTGGTCGCAATTTTGTTTAAGAATTTCCTTGTAAGTTACTTTTTATATATAAAATTTACATTTAAAATAAATCCTCAAATAATTATGTGTACCATTTTGTTTGTAGATAAATACTATTGTTATATCTTCAATTATATTACCAATGACAATATTTGCGGGCATTATGTTACGTATTAATGACACACCAAAAATATATAGTTGGATTTATGATGTTTCTATGCTGAAACATTCAATGCAAGGTATTTTGCATGCTATATATGGTTTCAAACGATCTGCGTTGCCATGCCCAGAAGTAAGTTAGATATTGATAAATGTAGTAGTTAAATTTTTTTTTTTTATTAAATTGATCAAAGCATTGAATAAATTTGTAAATCTAAAAAAGTCTACACCAACAATAACTTTTTTAATTAGTTATAATTATATGTGCATTGTGCCGTATAATATAATACTACCATATTGACAAGTACAAAACTGGATAGGAATTATTTTTTTAATTATTATATTTTATATTTTTGACCTAACCAAATTAAGTTTCATATAATTTAATATTTTATTTTACACTAAGGATAAGTATAAAGAAACATACGTTTTAACCATGGAAATGTAATTTTTTTGTAGATTTATTGTTATAATGGCTCACCAGAATTAGTTCTCAAGGATGTAAATATGAGCGATAACATATTTTGGACTAGCGTTGGATACATCACTGCAGTATTTTTATTCCTTAAAATTTGTACTTATGTTGTTTTAAAACATAAACTTTCCTGATGAAAATAATTTAAAAATTTTTATGACTAATATTCGTTACTAGTAAGTGTTAGTATTGTTAAAAAAAAATAATCTATTTTGTCTGCATAGAATATATTTTTATAGTTAAATAATTGCATATCTGGTAAGTCAGATGATTGAAAATAATATATTACAGTATTTATATTTAATGAGACTGTTGTAAGCACGGCTATAGCCTAAATATTATCTATAGCCATGGATGTTAGGTACAGTAATACAACCATGAGAGGGGAAAAGCTACAGAAATGAAACTCATATTTACCTTGAAGGAAAAAGTTTTTATTTAATGATTTTGCTTTTTTTTTTATAAAAAAACTACAGTTAATGTTCAAGTTCATGTAAGTCGTTAAAAATAATTTTGCTTCCCTATTTACAGCTTCTCATTGTGCAACTGTTGTGGTTTATAAAATAGATTATCTTGATCAGGGTGATCACAATTTTCAGATAAATAATAAATTAAAATGCTGCCCAAAATCAAAATTAAATCTTAATCGTAATTTTTATTTAGGATCATCATCGTTTTACTGTGTAGGTCTGAAGTATAGTTTAAAAGCACATTCAGACCAAAAGTCAACTTTGAATTGGAACAGGTGTTTAAAAAAAAATGTGGCTTATGAAAATTACCAATAAAGAAAACCTAATGTTTGCAGTGACTGTTGCTTTGGTCTAAATGTGGTTTAATACTAAAAAAAAATGTTTATTGTATTGGATATTTGGTGTTTTTTTTTGTTAATTGTTATTATAATTTTTTCTTTGTTAATTGATCTGATTGAGTGCTTAAGAAATAATTTGTAAATTTTTTTTAATTTAAGTTTTATTTATGATATCTGTATAGTTTAGTACCCAGGACCCACTTCATTGTAACATGAAATCTCTTGATTTCTGATCTCAAAACCAACGAATTTATAAACATGTATTTAATTTTATTATTCCATAATATATTGTTTTGCTCAAATGAATACTACTATTAGTGTCTTTTATTGTGCTTGAACTTTTCAAAAACTGTAAATTATTTTTCTTTTTCAGAATAATAATTGTTAAATGTTGTTTATGTTATATTTTACTGTAGCACAAAATTAACATTACTCTGCTGTTAAACATATTTTAATAAGTGTGCCAAGGTTACCTTATAGTTTATACTGAAATATTTTTAATTATATACAAATGTTTTTTTGTCACTCGTTGTTTGACATTTTAAAATAATTTTCTTGAAAATATTATATTTCAATTTTATGTATATTATAATATTATACTGCTATATTATAGTATACATTGTAATGCGACTTATATCCTACACTGCACAATTTGAAATAAAAATAATTTATATCAAAACTATAACAGAAATATAAAAAAGCACAACTCTATGAAGTAAATGGACTCTAATAATTGCATTACCATAACTTATGAATTATGATTCATAAGAATGAAGAACTACTAAGCGCTCATTTTGTGATATTTTTGAAATGCGTTATAACTTATAAGCAATATTTAATATAAGTTGTGTAACCAGTATATATTATTATCTACAACCCCGATCTTTATCCAATTAAGTATATTATTTTAAGAAAACAAAATCTCTGTGTAACGCTATTGAATGTTTGAATGACAACTTATATTTTTAATTTCTTATTCCAAAGAATTTTATTGTTCAGAACATTGCCATAATTTTTTTTAGGATTTTCTATAATATTATAAAACATTGCCTATGAATTATGTGAATTGTCGTAGGCGTTATTACATATGTAGTAAGAGTAAGTAATTTTCCTCAAAATTTTGACTCATGCATAAAAAGTGCGGAGAGCTTTTTGGGAAGCAGTATGTTTAGACGGTATCACCACACCCCATCCATTGGTCGCGGAGACTTCAAAAATGTAATTAAAAAATTAAATGAAGTAGTAATAATACTAATAAGTGTGCCTGTTGTGTAGGTAATAATAAAATGGCCAAAAGTCTAACAGGTAGCCATATGAAAATAAATTTGAACAATTTAGATGTAAGAAAACAATGTTGACAGTTTATTATCACATTGCCTTAAAGATCATCACCCATTTATCATGTTTAGTCAACATAAATATTTTTAGAAATATTGATATAAGTTCCTACGTTTATTAGGTGTAAGTTGTCAAACATTACAAGAAAGTAATATCGATTCCCACATAAAAAAAATTAAATATCATTATTGTCTGTAACATAATAAATATGTAATTACATTTGATGAAAACACGAAGGCTGTAATTTAATATACATAAACATTTAATGACCTATTGCATTTCGTTCAAAAGCATTAAAAGTAAATAATATTTTTAAATGCAAGTGAGTACACGTGACAGAATCTTCAGTGTATTTTTCACACATCAATACAGCATGAATCTGTCATATGAATTGCCTAAATAATATTACTCCTTAAAACATGCTACGCTCTAACCCCCTTGAGGCTATTGAAAGTAATCCATTTTTAAGGGGTAGGATTTAGACAATATTCATATCCATAGTGATTGATCTGTGTAGCTCGCCAAACGCTTTATGCAATTTAAAATGTATACAACTACAGCTAAGATTTTTGAAATCATTAATGTACATACTCACAATCACACGGCACTTCATTTTGAGATAAAAAAAATTTACCTAGTACCAAAAAGCCGATTTTAATTTTGAAAACATATTCTAATTCTAGGTTTGTGGGAAACGGATTTTCGATTTTTTGTATTGTTTAATTAGGAAGTACCATAAGTATACATTTGCTTTTTTTTTTATATAATTTACCTTTACTTTTACTAAAAATAAATCTAAAATAAATTTCCTAAATAACCTAGAAAAGAAAACTTAAAATTGGTGTTCTGGGAGAATATTATTTTCTTCCGCTTGGTTTGAAATGTTTAAATGGATGAAAAACAACCAGTTTTCAACAGCTTTAAAATGTACAAAATATACTTTTATACTATGTACTTTCTAGGAATGGAGATTTAACAGCACCTAAATCATAAATAACCAATTATAACAACTGCAAAAATCTCCTCCCCCCACTCTCCAAAGAGTTGAAGTGGCCGGTTGTATACTCCGCGCACCGAGAGAACGCTACTCGTTGGCGCATCTAACGACGGTGGCTGCGGCGCGCGTTGACGGCGGCCAGCATTCGACAAGGTTTAGTGGTGGGAATGCGCGAAAACGGACGTATTTTGGTCGCCGCCCAGTAGCGTTCTCTCGGTGCGCGGAGTATAGTTGTTTTTAAATTTTCAAAAATGAAAATGATAGTTTATATTGTAGTAAAATAAAACCAATAAAGGTAAGATCAATATAGTTTTGTAAAATTTGTTCCACCTTGACATTATAATATATTTAATTATCATTTAATAAAACTGTATGGATTTGAGGTTAGTGCCTGGAGTTTTCTAAATTGAAATGTAAAATAAAATAAAATGACACTAGCTATTCAGATTATTAGTTTCATTAATAAAATGGATTATAAGAATTAGAAGTGTGCTATACACAAATACGATTTTCTCAATACTAAGTTGAAAAAGTAGTGGTTTTGTTCATATTATTTTAGCAAAACTTAATCTAATGATATGCATTACCTCTCGGAATTGTGTAAAGTTGGTTTAATTTATTAAATAATAACACAATGATTAAGATTTTTTTTTTTTTTATTATCCAATAAAATGATAAATCTTACATGATGTCAACTAGAACCTTAACTTTTGGAAGAACCATTTGTTCTTTCCAGACTTGAATCTGTAAACAAAATAAGTATAATTAGAAATTACAATTGTTGATTATCACAAAAGATAAAATATTATATCAATGGGTTAGATGGATACATGGGAAAAGGAGCTAAGTGACATTTCTATACGTCTCTTCTCTCCTGGACCCTTTTGCCATGTAACCATCTATATTATATTATTATATTTGATATTATAAAGGATGAAAAAAGGCATTAGCATATTTATATCTTGGGTTATCATGCAGTTATTGAATAGTAGATTAAAATATATAAAAGATATTATATTAAATCTTATGTAAGCAGATTATTTTATCACCATATTCAGAGGAAAATGTAAATGATTATGGAGATCTTTTTAAAGATTTAGGTTAGGTACTTAATAAGTATTCAATATTAAAGATTATGTTCATAATGCACATATTTTTCTGTCTTACACATGTAGATATAGTACAAACATCTCTCCGTATTTCATTCATTGTGATTGTATTATTCAAACTAAGGTATCATTTACATAACAATCAGGTATATCAAAAGAATAATTTTAACTGTCGGGTGGTACTACTGAGTACCTTCCCTCTCTGTTATATTAACGCTATTCTCCATCAAAAAAATTACTTATTATATAAAATGTTTGTATAGATTGTAATTATTCTTTTAATAAAATAATATAAAAAAAAACTTTTCAGAAGTTTTTTTTATAATCTTATTTTTAAGAAGTTTTAGTATTTAATTTTAGATTCTGAGCGGAGCGATGAATGTATTGGTTTTACAATGATGTATGTTTTTATATTTTTATTTATATTTTTGTGTCTGTCATCACGTTTTGGGACAGTAAAAGTGCTTCGATTTTCTTCAATAGTACCTTTTCTGATAGGAAAGTGAATCTAGTTGGTACTTTGGGGGGTCAAAAGTAAACATTTTCCAGTAGTTTTCACAAGCGCCGGGAAAAAACAACATAAAAATTAAGGAAAAACGGGAATTTTTACGCAAAATCGATTTTCCAAAAAATCGAATTTGGTTTTTGGTGTAACTTTAAAACAAATGACCGTAGATACATGAAATTTTCACTGGTTGTTTATATTTGCATTTTCTAAACACGATAACATTTTTAAAATATTTTGATTTATTTTGAACTGTTTAGGGACATTTTCATTTTTCATTTTTTTTTAGAAATATCAATAAAATTTTATTTGTTGGTTCGAAAGCTTGAAAATTTAATAGAAGGCTCCTAATATGTTGTTTCAAAGGCAGATGAAAAATATTAAAAATCCTTAGTCACAATTTTTTTTTATAAGCATTTAAAGTTCAAAAATTTACAAAATATGGAAAAATCACGAAAATTAGCAAATTATTTTGAGTTAAGAATTCGTAAAAATTTTTCTTTTTAAATCTAAGATTCCTTATAAGATTATCTACCTTTATCAATAAAAAAATCTCTACCGGACAGTCAAGTTAAATTTTTATGAGCGTTTGAAATTAAAATTTTTACAACATTGGATATTCACTCGATTTCTTTATTTTGTTGCAATTCAAAAACAAACAACTGAAGATACATGAAAATTTCACTGAATGTTTAAATTAGCATTTTCTATACACCATACAATTTTGAAAATATTTTGTCTCTTTTTGAGCTGTTTAGGGACATTTTCAGTTTTCAATTTTTTTAGTTTTTTTTTTTTATAATTGTCAATAAAATTTTATTTGGTGGGCCAAAAAGTCTGAAAATTGAATACAAGCTTTCTTATATATTGTTACAATATCAATTGAAAAATTTTAAAAATGCATAAGCACGATTTTTTTTTATAAGCATTTGAAGTTGGAATTTTGACAAAATTTATCAAAATCTCGAAAATAATCAATCGTTAAAAAATTAAAAAATTATAAAATGTTCAGTTTTTATAACTAAGAGTTGAAAATTTAAAACAAAGATTCTCTTAAATAATTCATACTGTAATCAAAAAATCTAAAAAATATATAAACACACTTATTTTTTACAGACATTTTAATTTCAAATTTGGACGAAATTACATATTAAAAAACCTAGAATAACTATTTTAGTTATTTTGTTGTGATTGAATAATATTATTCGTGGGTACTTGAAACTTCTAAAGTGTACTATTATATATCTATGATAGTATCACGGTTTTTGTTGATGTATAACGCGTTATAAGTATCTAATGGATATTGTGATATGATTAATTTGGAATTTATTATAGGTACCTATTATAGGTCAATTTTTTGTTTAATACCATAGATATGTATATAATATGTCTTATACTAGACTGACATACTGTCACCGCTCAGAATCGTTTTTCTTATACAATGATATTAGATCATTGAATTCAAATTTAATACCATCCATTATACAGTGACCCACTTGTAACCTACTGTACAGCAGAGCGACACCCACTTGCCCACCTTTTTATGATCACAACTTCACAATATTTTAGAATTTGGAATATATTAAGATGATGTTACAGTTGAGCATGTCTTATCTCTGTCTTTTGTGACAATATAGTGTTCAGCAGTTCCAATTTTGTGGTGTTCGATATATTTAAGTGAATTGACCTACTATCAAATAAAATATCTAAAATTTTATGACAGTAATTGGAATTTTTAAATATTAATATTTGCTATACTTATTAGTTACTACTTGATTAAAAATTTGATTATTGTAAAAATCCAACGATAGATAGAACAGATCATGTTTTGATCTAAGGTTGATAATAGTCAATTCAATTTAATATTTAAGCTAACCACACAGAATTGAAACGGCTGAAAGAACATTTTAGCATGTTATGCATTGGTAAGACTACAACAAGTATGACGTTAGTAGATAGTTTTTGAAGACAAGTATAGTTTAAGAGCAAATTAAGAGGTTGATGGTGTGTTCTTTAAAATTTGTATCTAAAAGGCATGAAAAAAAAAAATTTCTTTAAATGGCTGTGTTGTAGGTGCGAAACCATAATATCTACACTACATAACGATGGACTATAGTGTTTCATTATAACTACTATATAACGCTAACACGCTTCGTGGAGGTTTTGTCTCAAACCAGGAGTTTTGAATCTAGGCTCAAAAAATTTGTAAAACATTCGTTATCAATTTTAAATTTACTGCGCAACTTTTAGAAACCCTAATGAAAAAACACCACGAGGCGCGCAAGCATCGAGTCGCAGTTATAATGAAATGTACTATGGTGAGCATCAAACAAACTGCTAGTTGTGCTAATAACTGTATTCTCCCTGTGAATTTATGAATGACAACTAGTGATAATGAGTGATAGATATGCTACAAATATACTAGCATATGCGCAAAAACAAATCTCAATTAGACTTGTCGCTAATATGTGCTTAAAATTGTTAACATAGGCGAGATAGGCTATGGCTACATCCATAACATATGATTTAAGATAATAGCTGTCTATTTGTACCCAAAACAGCCTCGCAGTCGGTGTTCGCAACTATTAAATTTAGTGGATTTTAAAAATAAACATTACTGCAATGAATGACCATATTTTAAATGAGGCATCAAATTAAGGGAAATAAAACCTATATAAGCAACCATGCTTTGTGGTTTATCTGTTATACAGCAGTAGGCAGCTCAAGTTTAGTTTCATAAAGCACTATCAAATAAGAAATTTCCATGCTAAAACAGCCCAGATGGGGTTTTAAACTTAATAGAGCATAGTATTATTTATCATGCAATTTGTTCAATATAACAGGTTTAACACATAAAAAAAATATTATTCTTACTTCTCTTCAAATTTAACCCGGGTCTGGAAACGGTATTTCTTTTTAATCATTGGATCTTTTAAATCTTTAGGTGAAACCTTGTCTACTGTTACATCTTGTACGGAGTATCTAGTTGGCATAAGGTGGTTGTAATTGAGCACCTGAAAAATAATATAGAAATTAATACATGCAGTAAAGTAAAAATTAATTTAACACAATTACTTTTAGCCAATACCTATTTGTAAATGATTTAAATTTTATAACTATGCATATAAAAAAAATACATACGAGTATAAATATAATGCCCGATGTTGTAGTTTTATATTTTATAAATATCAAAATACACTTCATAATTCTTATCAGGTTTGTATGTCATCAAAATATGTCAGACATATGCTTGTTAGTTCATCATTAAGAATCAAATAAGTCAATGAGAAAATTAAACTTTATAAATACATAAAGGATAGAATAACCTAAGCGTTTTAACCGATAAACGAATATATGTGCTAAATAACTACAAGATCTTTTATTATATCTCATGACCATGCGACCCCAAACCTTCGATCAACTTTGTTGGGTGTACCAATTGTCAAGTTTAAGTCAAAACAATAATACCTAAATTATGAATTTGTACATTGTCATTTCATATAATTAAAAATAAATATTATAATTTTATACCTATAAAACTTAATTGTTTGAAAAGCTACCAAGGTTAATATAACATTAAATAAAAATGGAATTTAATAATTTATAGTACTTAAAGAGTTTGAAAACTAACCTATTGTCAACCATTGACTTCCATAAATATATCACAATGCAGGTGGATAAGTAAATAAATAATAATATATTTATAAAATGCACATGCCAGATGGGAGTTATATTAATTATCATGTGGCTAAGAAGTTAAGAGTGACAGCGTGTAATTTCTGTTAATTTAAAAGGAATGATGCACTACATAAAAATAAAATCTGTAATTTGTTAACACTTCGGGTGTTACATCCATATTTGTGCCTTACAAACTTAAACATTTGAAATTCATATACAGTAGAATTAATTTTATGCTGTTAGTTTTAACCACGTCCAGACCAATAGGATACATTTATCAGAACTTAATGTTTTCTATCTCCCAGCATGTCATGAGGTAACGTAATGTAAATCGAATGTCAGCAACAAATGCATCCTGGCTTAGACGTGGCTTTAGTGAATTGACCTATTACCATAACTCAAAGGTAAGTTCAATATGTATATGGTTTGTTATGCAAGTTATGAGTATGTAAAACAGATAAATTTATAAATGCTCATATTTAAATTGCTCAAGAACTTAAATATTGTAAACGAACTGACGTACACATACAGGTGTTTTACCTTAACGATTTGCAATAGGTAAATTTTGATATCAAAGCCACGACAGAACAGATATTGGTTTGGCTGAATGTAAATTAGGTAATTATGTTGATTTAAGTTCGTTTAACAGAGACAACACATCATGTGGGTACAGTATACTCAAGGGTAATGGTCCTCTTAAAAATGGAATTTATATAGAAATTATTCTTGTTTAAACCGAAGCTAAAAGCTTACAAAAAAAATGATAAAATCATACACACAACGGATAAAACGTAACGGTATTATAATGTGTCAAACAACAATTAGTCTTACTTTCAGGAAAGGTTTGATTTTGGATCGTTTTTTTAGTTTTTCCTGTGACATGCGTTTGGTGACTTTCCGAGGGTAACGATCTATACCGGCCACCAGCGCGTGACCATATTGTCTTTCCGCTGTACCTTCATCGTAGGTCTTCATTATGACAGCTTTTCGGCCGGCGTATCTACCAGATAACACCAGCACGATTTTACCAGATTTCATAATTTTACCCATTGTGCCGCTTTTGCTGAAATCACAAACAATAGAACATTAGTATAATTACGTCAAACTCGTCGCACATCAGAACGTGCACGAAAGAGCAACGACGTCGTGAACGAAATGTGCGAAAAGCTTATGAGGAAAATCTCCTCCGCATTTCAAGCCGCGGGAAAATATTTCAACAATAGCGAACTCGGGCCCAACTGTTGCTGACAAAACAGTCCGAGGTACTCGGGTCAATTCGTGGCACGTTTACGACAACGTCGGAAATTCGTCATACGACCGTCGACCATTCCGGCGACGATAAATCCGCCTTTCGCGGATTTCGTTCACGGCGAGCCTCGATTGTGGCACAGTTGACACGAACGCGTACCCAAAGGCAGTGCATTTGCCGTCTAATAATTAAAATAATTCGAAATTACTTACCACAAGACTACGCGATTCTTACACGAGGGCAGGCTACGAACGCCAAAAGAGAGAACTATTTGTTTTCAACAGGATTTTGAGGTTACGAGCGGAGCGCCAGTTTCAGTGTTTCACCGACTCGTGACAGTCGCGAGTCGCGGACTCCGCCTGGTGCGCCTGGAAGAAACGACGCACGCAGGCCGACAATCATGTGGTGTTGGGCATTTGGTTTTCTCGTCCATGAGAACTCGCTCGCTCACCGCCAGGCGCCAATGTTTGATTTTCAGAGCGCCATATTACAGTAATTGAGTAATTGAGCACAGATTACCTATATTATAATATTAATATAATCTGTGGTAATAGAATGAACAGTTAATTTTAATTTATATTTTCTTCTCATTTATCAACAATCTCAACACTCAAGACTGAACACCGGTGTTCATCCATGAAATGTTTTAGTTAGGCCATCTGCCATCTGTGAACTGCGTTGTGCGATAAGCTTAATAATTATTGATAATTATTAACCGATTTAAGTGGTATAGGCATAGACGCTAATAGAGGGGGTGGCTTGAGGGACTAAGGTCCCCTAAAAAGGTCCTACATTTTTTTTAAGCTTATTCATATGATTATAATATGGCTTCAGCCCCCCTCCCTAAACTATTGAGCAAATTTGTCGGCGTATGAAAGGATATATAAATACAAAAGACAACCTACACGATTGAGCATAAAAACTGCAACATTGCCATTTTCAATATTGAACAATATTATAAAAGATATGTTTATTTAAATAATTATAATAATTCAAAATATGTATGTTAAGAGTTAAAATGTTGTGGGTAACTACCGAATTGTTGACATTTTAAATATATGTGTTTTAATATTTTTAAACATTTTTTATGTGTCTATGTATAAAATCAAAGAATATTTTTGGATTGTAAATTAATAATTTGATTTAGATCTAATTAATAATAATAAAAGTGTTTTTGTGTAATTCACTAAAAATAATGACAAATTGGTATTCAATGTAAAATGTATGATGTTTAAAGTATAAATAGTACAGCATTTAGTGAGCAAATTTTGGAAACCTTAAAGTGGGATGTGGGGGGCGAAAGTCCCCACTTTTACGTATTCTATTCAATGGCTCATCTCCTCCCTATAATAATTCTTAAATACGCCGCAGACCTATATCGGCTACCACATAGCCGCAAATAGGGTTTGGGATTTAGGGGGCATAAGCCTTACTTTGATAATATTGAATATGTTTGGGGGTTATGGACATTTTTGGGAGGGATTAGCCCCTAAAGCACCCTCCTATATGGGCTACAAGCTACTTACGATTGATTATTGACATTGATTGAAAAGTTTATTTTCCCTAAAAATAATATGGTACTGGTTTGTTATAGCCCCGCCATCCATATGACAATAAATTTAAATACATAATATAAATATGAAATAATTCGACGAAAAATACGTACCCGTTACTACGAGGTACCTACTAATCAATAAATCAAAAACTATTTCATAGTTAGTGTGCCAGATAGATCAGAAGTTACATAATCGATACCTATCATTAACCAATATATTAGACATGGTTCAAAATTTTTTTCTGACAGCTGGAAAGCTTATGCTAATTTGCAACAACATAGATTTCAACATAATTAAGTTTATCATTGATACAATATCGTAGTGGACCCTAACTCAGGAGCATGCATACAAAATGTCGAGGAAATGTGGTGGCCGGCTAAATTGGGCAACAAAAAAACGTAGACGAACTGATAGACATTTTTTAGACTCTATAACATGGCAGAATTTATGTTGTATCAAAACTCAACAATATAGTGATCATAAGAGGATACCATAAACATTTTTATATATTTTTAATTTATCATTGTTTTATACCTACTTACAGTGTTGGGTAGTAACTTAACGCAAATTACAAATTACAGTAACTCAACTACTTTTTCAGTAACACAGCAGTAATGTCATTACATTTTACTTAAAGTAACGCAATTGTAACAAAATTATACATTTGAAAAGTAATTTCTATGAAGTAAAGCACTAACGGGTTACTTTAAACGTTATTAAAATAGTAGTTTTGAATGCATTACAAAAACAAGCCAATAGAATATCCCAGAAAAATTAAAAATCAATTATATTTATTTTTAATTCCGAGAATAGTTAACAATATTACTAAACATTCCAGGAATAAATGTTCTCACTTTATTAGCAAAAAAAAAGAGTCCAATTCAAAAATAAAATTTCATAAAAAGTAATTATGATTTATGACTTATGACTTATAGGTGAGATGATTGTACATATATCATATATGTACATAATACTATAATAGGTCTATTATTACTAGGTCTAAGATTGTAAAATATGTACATAATAATTATTAATTGAATCATATGAATTGGATATGGTTAAAAAAAAATGATAAAAAAAAGTAATGTTATTTGTAAGGTACTTTATTAATGAAAAAGTAATGTAACGTGATAAAAATAATTTTGGGTAAGTAACGCAAATGTAATTTAAATAAAAATATTTTAAGGAGCGAGTAACGTAATTTCATTACTTTTTAAAAGTAATTTACCCAACACTGCCTACTTATACAATATATTTATTATTATCATTTTTTAATTTTAATTTTTTAATATTTCATCAATATATCTGTTATTATTATTATGGAATCAATAAATAAATGTATTTATTGTTATACGGATGGCGGAGGCGACCGCGGGACTATAACAAACCTGAGTGGAGGGGCTTTAAAGTTTTCACTTACCGTGGCGGGGCTATAACGAACCAGTACCAAAAATATTTATATTATTTTATAACATTATGTTTTTTTAATATATTTTCGTACCTTTTTTTAGATTCTGAGCGGAGCGAGGAAGCTAGTCGTTTTTCAATGGTGTTCAGTTTTTTTTTTATCCTGTATACAAAATTTCTACCAGATAAGGAGTGCTTCGATTTCAACATAATATATAATCTTGGATCAAGATAGTGCTTTAGAGAGGTCATTTTTCGATTTTCTCAATAATTATTTATTGCCACAGGAAAAACCACCGACAAATTACAAAAAAATATATAATATTATAATATCAATTCAACTTACAGGATATAATAAATAATAACAATATAAAATATGCAGACTGACAAACCGTCTTTGCTCAGAATCGTTTTTCCTATACTATGATATTATACAATGGTGGGCAAGTTAATGAAAATAATTAACTGTGGAAAGTTAAGTTAATTCAATTAAATTGCCTTCAGTTAAGTTAAAAGTTAACAAAAAAATAAAATTTAACTAGTTAAGTTAAAAGTTAAGATGGAAAATAAAATTAACTTAACTCAGTTAAAAAAAGTTAATTTTTTTTTTAAGTCATAATATTAATAGGTATAGGCTGTTTTTAAATATTTGTCATTTAGTACCATTATAATAGTCTATTATTAAAATAAAATCAATGAATAATGATAATAGTATAATACCTACCAAAAATTGTTCCCATATTTATTTCGATAATGTTATTTTCTAATACGTTTATTTGTATTTATAACGAATACATACGGCAATATAAATTATAATTTATAAATTTCTCGGACGACTTTTTGTTTTGTCTATTGGAATTGTCGTATTTACCAGTAACCAGTATATATTATTGATATAATTATATCCATTTAAAGACTATGATATTTAGTTTTAAACCTGTTTTTAGGAATTGGAGAGTTAGATAAAACAAAAATCGGATTATTCAATACCATTAAATAATATTAAATCATTAAATAATAGAATTCGTGAAAATAGCCAGTCGATACAAGGATAGTATACTCAAGGCCGGATTAAGGGGGGGTCTAGCCGGGGCGGTAGCCCCGGGGCCCTTTCAAGTACCAAAATGAAAGGGGCCCAAACAATTTTAAGCTGATACACATTTTTCAGTGATTTTAAAGAATAGTTTTTTATATTTTAAAAACCATTTTTTTAAACAAAAACAACTAAGAGCCGTTCTTACGATGTCCGGTTAAAGTTAACCGACACTTAACCGGAAGAATTCTGCCGGTAATAAAATCTGTTATCAGTCGGTTAGCGTTAACCGACACTTTACATGACATGGTAAGAACGGCCCTAAATAGTAAATACCTATTTGTAGGAAAGGCGCATTTTACTGTTATTTAATATTTGTTGTAAATAAGTATAATGTTAATAAATTTAAAAGTTGGTATGAAAATTTGAATTTAAATTAATGAAATATGAAGTATTAACTATGTGGAATGATGGCAGAAGCTGATATGTATGTATGTACATTTTGTTAATTTTTCAATTATATCATTTAAATAGTTTAGAAATCGTATATTTCAAGTAGTGGAAAAATTTTTCTTTTATCATACTTAATATGATATGTCTCTATTATGTGTGTGGTGCCATTTATATTCAAAGACCAAAACTGATAAGTCATTAGGTATTTGAAAATATATGTAGCGGCAAAACTAAATTTGTAAAATATCAGCTTCTGCCGTATTTACTTTTATTATATTACAATATTAGTGAATAGTGGTTGTATACTTTATAGACATATAAATTACATATACTTACCTATTCATTTTATAAT